TGGGAGGCTCTTGTTACAACATCATGTTATCGTACACTCTTGTTATGTCATTTTCCTCTTTATAGGAAATGAATTAATACTTTGTGTGAAAGAGCTTCTAAGGAATAAAACGTCTTTATGAGTTTGCTTACTTCAAAATGAACAAACCAAACGATCAAAAGTTTATCGAACAATTCGAGAGCTTTTTCCATAACAAAACTGTCAGCTATTGTGTTAGAGATAATGAAACGGTGTTTCATTTTTCCTGTGCTATCTGCAAAGCAACTAAGTTTCTTTTAAAACTGGTCAAAACATACGAGATTACGTCAATCGGTAAACAAAGCATTGTGTTCCAGCTGCATCATCAGCCCACGTTGTGATTTGAGACGGATCGACACTTCTGGGTAGATTAAAATTCACCACCATTTTCCTGAGAACTCTAATATTTGGTAACCTCTTTCTATTTGATTAGATCAGGCGACTTTGACTTGGGACTGTTTGATTTAATCAGGGAAGAAATCAAAAGATTTCATTAATGCTAAATATACTACTAACTTCAAAGCTCTGAAAAGCGTGTACTTAGACTGGCACAAGGAACAAGACTGTGGCAAATATAAGGGAAAAAACTGAAGGACATGAATTTCTTGTATATCTTCTTCCGCCTCATACATCCCAATCACTGAGCTGTCTCTTAACTTTATTGATCTTAAAATGACAAATATAAAAAATAGCCTCGTGATGCAGTTCTTAATGTTAAACATATATTTGACACTCGTTTACTATGCTGAAATAAAAATTAAAACCTTACAGACCTGACCCTGCAAAACGTTCGATACTGCGCACGCATTTGGCGTTGACGTGGCAAGAACTCTCTTAAACTAATTAGTCTGCTACCTATGCTTGTTTGTGGTTCAAAGTCTGGCTTCAAGTAAGTCCGGTTTAATGGGAAGATCACGCGAACTTTCGAGTGCTTTGTTTACCGCAAAGATAACATTTGAGCGCCTCATCAATCTGAAAAAAAAATGCTGTCTCCTTGGGCACTCGAGGAACAGTGATGCTTCGATGAATATCGATGGGACTGTTTCTAGAGGCAACTCGATTTTAAAAAAAAAAAAAAGCTAGTAAACAAAAAGTTTCAGTCTAGAACATTAAACCTAAAAACTCTCTCCAGTCGACAAAATTAATTTCCCAGAAATTAATTCTTTCATTTGCGTCAAGCACTTCAAATGCAATGAATTGGTATTTCCGAGTGCGTGAAATTTTTAATATTAGACCGCTTTAATTCAAAGAAGCTGAAGCAAACTGTGTGTTAACGAAGACGGTACTTTCTTGAATAGGCTAATTAGACAAAGTTAAAAATAAGACGTGATCTGCCGTTTATTCATTGCCGGAGGCTTATTCGGCAATGATAGTTTGTAGGATTGGACTTAACATTGTTGAAGCTAAAAAAGAACACACTAGAATCTGATTTACATAATAGTCTCGTACCAATTGCTTCGATTTTGATATTTAATAGCATCACATCCTTTCGTGATTTTGCGAGATTGAGTGGCACTTCCACAATTCTTCAAATACTGCACGAAGGTTGCTTTTCCCTAGTGCTTTGGTTGGGACTGATGAGGATACTGCTTAGTTAGCGCAAATGTTTAGTCAGTCTTGTTTTGACAAGTTAGCAGATTAATTCATTCGGTAGCTTAAATCTCATGATTTTTCTCATATAAGAATGTTGAAAGCCTATCGGGTAACTATTCAGTGGCGGGAACTTATCACATTAGTGAGGGCAAACAGTTTTCACCATTTTCCCAAAGTTAGTCCGTGATGTAAACCGTTATATTTGCAGCTTCTGACTCTTGTCTGCCGCAATCTCAAAGAAAAATTTCTTAAGTCTATTAAAGGTCAGTTCGCTAACTTTTCAATCAATTAGCGCATTTTTATAGTTTTTTTAAGGTTTATACGCCATAACAAGAGAATGTCGACACTATTAACACTTGATCTTCTCATGACGATACAGATTTCAATTCTCCCATTTCGTTTAGCGTAGACTTATTCATTCAGTCGGCCTCAGTTGATGCACAATTTGCGTGATACGATATTTTAAGTCCGCGTGATATTTCATTAGATCTGTCGGCAAATCAAGTGGAGTCCAATATTTTTACTCGATATCTCCATTATTACTAAACAAAGTGTTATTTTAAGAACTGTATTTTACACGAACAAGAAACAACCGCAAAACTTTGATTCCCCCGAGAAGTTTTCAGGAATTTGTAACATTTTTCCTTTAGAATAATTAAAGAACCTCCCTGCATGACATGCCTGTTCATGTCAATTCACTTTTGTTTTAAGAGGGGAAATAAAAACAATTGAAATCTAAATCATTTTTCTTCCTCTCTATGCTAAATATGTGGCGCATGGCATGAATTTTGACAGCTGTTTAACTCTTCTTCTTTTTGTTTCCATTTAATCCGAGAAAAAAACGTTTGCGAAATAGGAACAAATGGTAAGAACTATCATCAATTACTAAATTGCGTGATTTTTTCTTCTCCTTTTTTTTTCCTCATAACAGACGATATTAGAAAGCACTGCCTATTAATTTTGTTTCTTAACGTAATTCAGCTTCAGCATTGTTGGGAAAAATTATGGCGTTAAAAATATGACGTGTTTAGCACTTTTGTTTGTTTGCCTCTAGCGATAATTACCTTTTATCAGCAAATGAACTCTCAGGATAATAAATTACCCAGCTTTAATCAACTTGAAATAAGAATTAGCAAACGACTCAAAAGCATTGCATACTCTCACGTAGAACACAGTTGATTTGAGAAAGCAAAGGGTGAGCCCGCAGCCTAAGCTTTATACCTTTGGTGTATCATAAGCCCCTTGTGAGTTCCGCTATGCCTTCTACATTGATAACGAAGCATTTGATCGTACTTTTGTCCACTGGTGAGTAACCTTTTCATCGAATTTATTCTCCTTTTTACACAATAGTAGATACGTTTTGTTCCTGATTTTCTGCTGCCTTTCTGCGGTTTCGCTGCCCCCAGTAACAAGTGAGTTCTTGTCTCACCGTATCAAGTGACACAAAAGTGAAAGAATATTCCTGAACTACACGATTTGACCAAATTGTGATCCAAAAAAGTTTTCTTTATTCCAAAAAATAAGCGTAGACTCTCAGTTTTATTAGTTCTGCATTCGATTTGCAACAATTACAGTTTAAAAAAAGACCAAGTAGTGTTATAGTGGTTCAAAAAACCGTTTGCAGAAAATTCTGTCCTTTATTTCCGCTCCATTCTAAATCGTGCGATGGCTCAAAAAGCCATGCAGCTATATACAGTCATTGATAGATGTAAGTGATTCATCTTATGTTCACGGGACTAAATGTGCACTTCATTTGAAACAGCATTTTCGGAAGTGGTTATAATTCTTTGGCGGTTGTTTGTAGCGAGTAAACTTCGTTCGGACTCATTATAACACAATTTTAACACGAGACATTGATTAGCTTGCTGTTACCTATTTTTTTTGTATTCTGTCGTCTGTAAAATGTTTTGAAAACAATATATCCAGTCAATCGCTTACGATCATTTTGTCTTCCACGTCAGCTTAAAGGTTCCTTTTATACAGGAAATGCTCTGACTGATGCAAATATGCATCGAAAAGCTACATCCGTTTGATCTAACACGCAACAAAAGAAAGTACTTAAAAGCTTCATGAAACAAGCTGGCATATGATTTCGTTTTTCCTTTTCATTTCGTTTTTTTTTTTACACACGAAGTGTTATTTCTGGAATGAAGATTAAGGAATTAGTGATTAATGATTTGCAATTGAGCATCTTTAACAAAAGATGTAAATATACCTTTTCACTTACTTTGTCATGACATAGGTATTTGTCTCGCTTAAGACCGGAAAAGCTGACTGTAAACGTTTTCAGTAAGAGAGCCTTACCATTGTTTTTCTTATATAAACGTAGTCTAAGTCCTTGAGACGTTTCCACCATTCTGTAATCGATTACAACGCTCCTTTGGATAAGCAAACTTCAGTTTGAAGGGTCATATGGCCGGAATACATTTTACATTCACAGGAGAAAACTATTATAATTCAAGCATGTTTCCCTTCAATGACCCCTTGAGGTAGAGTTCCAATAGACTAGTCAGTGGTGCGATTGGTCTTAGACTTAGCTGATACACGTTCTCTAAATTTCCTTATCTTGTAATTGGAAGACTAAAGCATGATGATTGGTGGTCATAAAAACTGTTTGTTGTCCTTCATCATTCATTTGTGGCTCATTTATCTATTTATTAACTTATTTATTCAAATTTCATTAACAATTTAGTTATATATGTCCAACTATTAGCTACTTAGATGTTCATAATCATAATTTACATTTCTCCTGCTAAACGGACGCGACAGCAGTTAACGTCCTAAGCCCTAAGGAAGAATATGAGCATGACTTATTAACTGGTTAATCATCCGTAACGACAAGGAAAATGTTTTATGTAAAGTTCTTTTAGAAGCCGCGAGACCCCCACCAAAGAACGCTCATTATTCGAAATAGAGAAACAATATTCAAAAGAAATCTAATGATAACTCATTACCCTTTGCCATTTATCGCCATTTCATGTGGGCGAATGAAAGAAAATTAGATGAGGCTGCCTGATGATCACGCGCCATAAAGCTGGTGTCCTCGTTGATAAACAAACCGTTCATCACGTATCAAGTGTGAATATCAGCCTTTCAGTAAACGATACTGACGAGTAAACACATCCTGAAAAAGAGCATGCGCAGATTTATGATTTCTTCTTTTAAGGAAAAGGACTAATGGTCAATATAACGGTACTTCATCTCCAACCCTCTCGTGACGTCATAGATCTTACTATGTTTTCGAGATATACCAGTTCTAAATTAAGACTGATTTCGGCATGTCTATAAATTGATGTTACAAAAGACAGAGGTAAGATCCAGATAAAATTTGAGCGTTATTGAAAGACATCAAATGAAAAGAATGTTGATTAGAGGACTAGATTATCTAAATTACTCTTTGCCTTACAGGATGTATCCTTCAGTCTACAGTGGCCTCTGATCATCAGCTCAAAGCAGTTTTCAGTATGAGCGGAATAAAAGGGTACGTCATCTTTTCGCGATCACAACATGACGGCCCCACAAGTGTCATCGTTAACTTAACAGGCATTAACGAGACTCTGGCATGGCGCATTCATCAACTGCCTATGATCTACGACGGTAACGCGGCCATGAGTTGCAGTGCAGTGGGAGCAGTTTTTGATCCTGGAATGGCTATGGAAGCCGGGGACTACAAAAATTCGTGCAGTTTACAAAATACAACAAGGTTCGGAGCATGCGCATTTGGAGACCTGACGGGATTACTTGGAAATCTTGATGCCGATTCATCACAGCAAAATTTCACAAACCAAAGTTTGAAGATTCCAATAAAAGGCCCTCACAGCATCATGGGCAGGACACTTGTGTTGTACAGTGGGGAAACACCCAAAGCATGTGCCCTCATCACTCCAACAAGGCCTATGTTGACAGCTGTAGCTGCTTTCAAGGCTCCTGTAGCAGGTGTTGTGTTCTTGAGACAAGTAGACGCAAACTCGGACACCAGTGTCTATGTCAATCTTTTCTACGTCAACGAAGCCACATCCGAAGAGATGTTTACTTGGCAAATTCAAGATTCAGCTTCGTGTGAAACAGCAAGCACACTATTCAATCCTGATGGTAAAGATAACAGCAGCTGCAACCAGACAATGCAGAACAATTGCTCTATTGGCGATTTAAAGTCCAAACATGGCAACATCATGCTATCCATGGCAACGAAAAACCGATCTAAAACCAAGGCTGCCTTCACAGACTCCAACCTACCCCTTAGTGGCGCCAAAAGTGTTGTTGGTAAAGTAATTGTTTTGTTCTCAGGCAATGACACACAGAAACCTTTTGCTTGCGCCAAAATCATGAAAGTGAAGCCAAAGGTTGTCAAAGCTTCGTTCGATCCAAAAATCCACGATGGTGTAGGTGGATACCTCAAGATTACTCAGCCGTCTCCTTTCGATCCTTCTACAACAGAAGTCAACCTTACTGGTCTTAGGAAAGAGTCACAGGGATACCACGTCCACAACTATCCCAGTCCATGGCAAATGCAGTACACCGGTATGGAATCCTGTGCTGGAGGTTACCTGGGTGGGCACTGGAATCCATTTGGTATTGATACTAGTTCCAGTCCTCCTCCTGGAAGTGGTAGGGTTTATTTCAACTCTTTTTCATTCTTAAGCAAACTTATTGCGGTAATTCCCCGACACCATAATGTGTTCACGAAAAATAGTTTCTCTACCTATTTTTAATTATAACTTTCGATATTTAATATCTTATCATTTACTCGATAGTGTGGTAACTGGGTGGGAAATTTGAACCTACTGCCAAAACAGTGCTTCTTTAAGTTCTGCAAAACCCCTTCTTCAGTTTTGTGTATTTTTGTAATAAGTAAAATCCTTACCACCCACGAGACCCACTCATCACCACTTTTCCCCACAAATTAAACTCCTAGGCACCGATGATGAATACGAGATCGGAGACCTGAGTGGAAAATATGGATCACTACTTAACCTTACGAGTTACAGCGGAGAGCACATTGACTACAATCTGCCTTTATTTGGAAAAAACAGCATCCATGGCCGATCTATTGTAATCCACAAAATGAAGACGATGGGAGGCTTGAGATGGGTGTGTGCAGATGTGCACCAGGTGATGGAAGGGGGAGACATGTTTGAGATGAAATCTAAGATAACTTTCACAGGACCTTCCCTTAAGGGGTACATTCTGTTGGTAAGTCACTTCTACAAATAAATAGTAAATATGTAAGAATAATTTTTGCGGTTCTAGACTGTCTAACTTTCAATAAGAGAATATGATGGCAACAATATCCTGGCGTACTCTGCAATAAAACTGCATGCTATCCTAGAGCCGGACGACTGTACGGTATTCAGGTCACATGGATAGAACGTGGATAGGAAATTTCACTGATGGTTGTTTCACTAAATGCTGTTTCAGCATATATTTCTGTCAGCCTTTCCTTTTTGCAAGTCACGGCTTTTTTTTCCAATAATCAACAAGCACAACTTCAATTGTTTCCATTCAGATCCAGTACAAGGAGAACGAGAATTCTATGATGCCCGAGGAAACCTCAATTTACGTTGATCTTAAATACGTTTCAAACTCCAGCCAAAAGGTATGTCCTTTTAATGCAGATATCATTTTATTCATTCCCTGATGAGCAACCACAATGCAACCACCTTTTTCCCCTGATTGACTCGACTGAATTTCAATTTGTTAGCTGTATTATTGATATGTTATCAAACCTCGAATCCGTCACTAACGATAACATGGTTGACGTTTATTTTTTACCAATCAGAGCTTGAATCACAAGTGGCACGTCCATGTAAAACCAGAAGGGGGTGACACTTACGCAGCCATGGGTAAAAGGTGTAAAAGTTTGGGAGGACATTACAACCCTTATGAAGTAGATTTGGAAGTAAGTATATAAGTCAAAGACAGCATTTCTACGCAGCAGAATTCTAGAACACGAGTTCATGCTAGGTTTCTAAATCTCTCAAAATAACACTCAAGTAATATAGCTGTGTCTTTTTTCCTTTTCCTTATCCATTTTCCAGGGAACTTACAAGTCCACATGCTTCTCTAGTAATATGCTGCGGTGTGAAGTTGGCGACCTTTCCGGCAAACATGCGATGCTGAACGTCGGAACAGGACAGAGTTTTTATACCGATCCTGACCTTCCCTTGTTTGGAGAAATGTCAGGTAAGAAAACCATAATTGTTACACTGTAAAAGAAAACTGCCTTTAAGTTTTATCAAATCAGCATGAGTTAAGCCTGGAAAACTTCTATCGATTTTAAGTTTTTTGTTTTAGAAACTGAACAAATCAAAGCTTAAGAAAACTACGCCAAACTACTTTTCCTTTTAGAGTAAGCCTTCAACGTCTTGGCTTCTGTCCGAAAAAACTTTATCCAATGACGAGCGCCTGAAATGACAAAAGCGATCTATTAACTTGCACGGTATTCATACATTCATTTATAGTAATTGGTCGTGGAGTTGTGGTTCATGCAGAAAACGCTGGGGGTGCTCGCTTAGCCTGTGCTTCTATTACACCAGTTTCTTCGTTGTACGTAGAGAAAACACTGAAATATGTCAAGGGAGCTACATTTTCCAGGTAAGGCAAAAGTATGATCTTGGATTAAATACCAAATACTTGGTTAAATGGTAAATTGAAAGTTTCTTTTTTTTTTCTTTCCATGCATTTCGTTGAACAACACAGACTTAGTCTCATTCAACAAGACCAAAGTTAACTGAAAAGTTTATATTTTCTTTTTTCATAGAGTGAACTTTACAAAGAAAATTAGCGCGGCACTTAAAATCCCATCATGGCGGTTGTTTTATATTCGAACAGAAGACAGTGAAGTTCAAGACTGTGTCACTGTCAAATTTGGGATCATTGGAAACGGTAAGTTTTCTTGTAAGGCTTTCAATGAATAGACTTTTCAATCAGCTTCCGAGTTTTCCTCAGAGTCTGTTCGTTCTTCTAACTTGTTATGTAATACCGCATACACCTTCCATGTTGCGTTTTCTACCAACTCAATCGCGAGTGGTCCTTACTTTTAGGTGAAGTTGTCAACAGTTTGAGAAAATTTTTCTTGCGACCTTGGAGAGCTGATTGCTCGTGATATAATGCAGAAGCCCTCATGGCGCAAAGTTATAAATATCGTTGAGGGGGTGATGAGTTCCATATTTGAAATAATTAATAATACTCTCTTCTTCGTTCACCATAGAGAGACAAGTCAGTGAACCCTCACAAACCTTTGACTACATTATGGAACGTCAGCCAGCAAAATTGGGAGAATTTCAGCCGAAAAAGAGTTGCCATGTCCCTACAAGTACTCCTACAGGTAAGTAACTTTATCGTGGCTTTTTATTTAAGGGGTGTGTGTGTCACGGCATGATAGAAACCGCTGTGACAAAGCTTGAGGCCCCGGCCAGATGGAAACAATGGCTGATCTAATGCGAGAACCGTACACCAGATGTCCCTCACTTACCTCATCAAGGTTGACAGAGTCAAGATGTATGATTGCTTACTAAACGAAAATACTTTTTCGAGAGCGCCTCCCCGCCCTCCCTCCTTATTATATAATTCTACCTTCAAACAATTCGGCGGTAACTCTTTTAGCCCCAGCTGATGTTTTGATGTTTTCCCCTTCCCTTCCCTTTCCCTTCCCCTTCCTTCCCCTTCCCCTTCCCCTCCCCTCCCTTCCCTTCCCTTTCCCTCCCCTTCCCTTCCCCTTCCCCTTCCCCTTCCCCTTCCCCTTCCCCTTCCCCTTCCCTACTGATGAGTCTGTCTGTTAATTGGGCCGTTTGCTGAGTAACGTAGAAATGTTGAGATGAGAGGCTAGATGCTGATACCTCATCGAAGTTAAAAGGTTACAACGTGATTTTTATCCACTTTTAAGATACATGCGGATCTAATTGTGAGAAAGAAAGCAAAAGTAGTAGCAGCAAAGCGATGGACCCAATATAATTTTAAAAGATTTCTTTTTTCTTCTCAGTTTCTACAGGAGTCACACCTACAAAAAGTGGAACACGCATCAATCAAGTGAAAGAACTTCTCATGCTTGGCTTGATTTTACTGGCGGGACATGCAAATCTAAGAGCATGAATTTGAGCGAAGTGCCACTTTAAGTCCTCCTTTCCAACGGTCACCGCAAGAATATGACACCGCGGCTTCAGTTGGTGGGAAGAGCACGGTTATTATTGATCGAGAGATTATAACAGGATCGAGAGAAAGTGTCAGGCAGCAGTGCAACTGAGCCTAAGGAACCTGTTATATGTCTCTAAAACATACGTAAACCCATTCGTTTGAACTATACTCGGATCCCTATACTCTGTGATTCTAAGTGACAATCACATGTAATCTAAAATAACACAGTGATTTCGTCAGCTGTGAGTTGACTTATTTTAAAATGTCCTTTTCAATAAAATTGAGTCATGATGAATTGTATAAAATGTTTGAAATTTGGACCTCTGTTCGTCCAGAATTTTCTGTTCAAAGTTCCGTTCGTAAAATAGAGATCAAAACAGCGTTGATGACCACCACTTGTCCATCAAGAGTTGTGCTTATTTGATTGTGCAGGAAAGTCCACTTTAAACTGAATAAGAGATGAGTAAGAGAAACAATGGTACAAGAGAGATTAGCAGTTGATTAATTTTTGTGATAGGAAACCTTATTGTCTGTGATAATCTTTTCCCAGTTTTGTATTGTAATAGCTTGTTTTTGTTCTGCTACCGCTCGATAAGCCTTGCGTGACTGATCGTGAGTGACGCACACATCACGCAGCTTTTTAAGATCTATGCAAATCACATCGCAACGAGACGTTTTAAATTTTTGTCTGAAACCACCGTTTGCATTTTACAATGGCGATAGCTACTGGATTACCAATACTTTCAGTGGCGAATTTAATGCTGTTTGCAGGTAAGAAGCGCGTAGTAGATCAAATGCAACCGAATTATTCGCGTTTTTAGCGGATCTGCTCGAGATATAATTCGTCGCTCGCACAGACTGGTACGAACATGAGCAGAATTCTGATGATTGCATCTTTAAAAATAATGTTGAATTCATAGAATATTTACATTGTCGATGAATCGCTATCTGTTGAGGAGAAAAGGCAGTTTTAATACTGTACTGAAACTATGCGGGATTGCACCACGGTAATAAAACGGCACAATGGTGTCACTGTATTTATACTTTGTTTTCACTTCAAAGGCTTATAGGGAATTGATGATTTAAGATCGGAGAATTAAGGCTACTTACTTAAATATTAACTTTTTTTTAAGAATTTAGTTTTACTGCATTTAACCATCAATAGAAAAGTCGATTAACTAAGTCTCATGTCAGTACAATTCGTCGAGCCGGCATTTGTCGAGCAATATCGTCGGAAGTGATAACAAACTGGGCTGTTAATTCATGACGGAAAGCTATGCTGTCACGCTGTCGCTTTTTCTAAATAGAACCGAAGTGTCGGTTTTCCATCAGAATCTCCGATGCTCAACAAAGCTCTTTATTGCATAAAGCTTCCTCCAAAAGGAGCTAAAGAAAAAAAATTCCGCTGTCTTCAGTATACTATGTGGTGAATCATTAGTACATTTTTTTGACACGTGTGTTGCATGCTTTACAGGGTATGAATCTTAACAACGCCTGTTATGTATTCTTTTAAATAAAATTCATTTTATTTCCGTAGCTTTTGTTCGGATAGGTAAAACTCGTTTTTAAAAACACTTAAATTAAAAAAAATATATATTATAACTCACGTGGCGTTTTTGTCCCGCAATTTGCCTCAAGCAATGGAATAATTATGCAGCAACGATTTTTTTTCCGAGAAATTTGAAGAACGTTTATTCAATCACGACCAAGTTAAATTAACCCGTGCAAGCATTTCACAGCTCTGTTTCCTTGATATTATATTTGTATCATCAACGGTTTCACTTGGGAAATTTCGGTAGCAACAATGGCCCTTTCAATCGCCAGTACGGAATCAAAGGAAATCTGAATCCCTAAGAGCCTAAGAAACACCACATGAGGGACTCAGGAATTCATGTTGTCTTAAAAAAAGAAAGTTGTACCTTTCTGAAGTTTGTATTATATCAAAAGTCCATTATGAGAAGATAAAACGACTAACATGTTTTGATAACATGTTTTGATAACATGTTTTGATACTCTGAATAACCCTAGGCTATTATGATTCTTTTGTTTTCTTGGCTTTGTTAGAACCTGGTAGTCAAGTGCAACACAAAAGTTTTACCTATACCGGATTTTTCCATTGTTTTCTCTAAAGACGGGGAGACAGAAAACGGTTTCAAATATTTGGTCGAAAAATGTGTTGGTTATTACAGAGGAACTAATAACTGACCTGTTGTACGTAGCAATAGCTATGTGACAACCCTTTTTCTTTTTCCAGGAAAAGGAATCTTTTACGTTTTCCATTGTCGGTTTGAGGAACAAGGAGAGTCACTATCAGTTTAATTTATTTGTTTTCATCTCGGTGTTTGTTTTCGTTTTTTTTAACAGCAAAGAAGTGCTCGCGCAGCACAAGGGAACTTGTAAACCAACGACAATGTCAACGATTCGCTCTCACTTCTCATCGTTACGAGAAAGGTTTCTTAGGTTCGCGAGTGAATGCTCAGGACCGTGTGACAGACCAATTGTCTTTGAATCCCTTTGGAAATGGACCCACTCTTTAAATGTTTATTCAGCTGAGACCAATTGAACGTTTCCTTGAAAACGTCCTTAAAAAACGTCCTTAGTGCTGTCATTTAATCAAGACCTACAGAAGTTTAATTTGCTGTGTTTACAAAGCATGTCTTTGATTGTATGACGTAGCAAATGATTACAGCTCATTGGTGCGTGTTCAGACGCGTTTACAATCAACTGAATTACGTCTAATTTTCACTTTGCACCTAACCGCGCTAGTCGTCGAGTTCTTTCAGTGTGCGTCTTAGTGTGATGCGAATATTGTAGAAAGGACAAACAAAGATTACGGGGAGAAGGAAGAGTTGATACGAACGCGAAACGGAATCGTTAGAACGATCTCTAAGAGGTTCTTTGTTTTTTTTCTTTCGGACCAGTAGACCGTGAAATCAGTGGCTGTCGATTATGTACTAGAAATCTACTTCTATCGCGGACGATTCTGGGCTAAAATGCAATTAGATCGTAGCCTTCATTCCATTTGTTTGTTTCATGCCAATGGCTCGTACCATCATAGCGTCATGTCTTTTTTTCCCTGCCATTAGATCTTCCATCATTGATAACTATATACCATCAGATCGTTCCTCTATGCCATTAAATCATACTCCATGTCATTAGATCTTACCGCCCTGTCACTGGATCATACGTCCATGCCATAAGAGACATAAGATCGTATCTTTATGCTTTTCGACTGTAACTGCATGCCACTAGATCGTTCCGCAATACCAGTTGTGGCATAGGGGAACGTCGGATCTAACGGCATACAGTTACGGTCTACGATCTAAGGGCATGGAGGAAAAATATAATCGGCTATGATGGCAGGATCCATTGGCATGAAGCACACAGTATAATGGAATGAAGGCTACGTTCTTATTGCATTATAGTTCAGAACCCCCCTCCATTCCTTCCCACATCCTAATTATCGTTCTTTGCACTTGCCACTAAATTTCTCTTTCTCCGCTCCGCTCTTTAGCGGGCAAGTCATGCCAATTCAGTTCTAGCGCGTATCTCTAATGTTGAACTGTTCCACAATTGTGCAGGTTAGCAGAATCTGTTTCTTTCGTTCTCTTTCCCATCCACGTGTAAGGGGGTGGATTTCTCTTTTATTCGGTTGTAGCCGATTGAGCGTTCCTGTTATTTGTGTTTTTTGGCTCAGTTTATTTTAACGCATTAGTAGTTAACAATAGTCAATGAAAAGATTCTCTGTTCCAGCTAAGTATCTGGGCCAGATCATTCAGATTTTATGTCATCAAGAGTATAGATGTCTTTGTACGTGAGTTAGACGATCTTTCGTAAATAAAAAGAAAGCAAAATATTAACGAGGACAAAATTCAGTCCACTCGTAAAGCCGTGAATTGTTTTGATTTCACACTGTGCGCCACAGTCAGGATTACAATGATATTGTTGTTTGAGCAAGTGAACGTCGGAGCATTACGTGGTGGGTTGCTGTCCTCTGATTTGAAGTTAATTGAAAAGATGAACCATTATAGCCAAGCAGTGGGCTGAGCTAACTCGTTTCAAATCCACCTCTGCTTCAACACAGAGAAATTCTCTCATAACAATTGTTGCTTCTATTTACAAATCCTTTCATTTAACTGCAGGTCTTGTTGCGTCAGCGTCCGGTACCGATGCTTTGAAGGCGACTTTTAGCATGGGTGGAATTAAGGGTGACGTAACCTTCTCTCAATCTCAAGGACAGTCTTCCTCAGTAGTTATGGTCAACTTAACAGGCGTCTCTGTGATATTAAAATGGAGCATACAACAATTACCTATGATCTATAATGGGAATGCGAACTTGAGCTGTAACGCAGGGGTAGTAGGGGATGTGTTTGACCCAAAGATGGCCAAGAAGTCTGCTGACTATGCGACCAACTGCCAACCGAACAGTGGTTTAAAATTTGAATCATGCGCAGTCGGAGATTTATCAATAATGCTCGGAGACCTGAACAGCACTAACCAAGAAGAAAATTTTTCAGACCCGAAGTTGATGATTCCAATCAGTGGTCCACATAGTGTCATAGGTAAGACCTTGGTCCTGTACGATGGTGACATGCCCAAAGCATGCGCCCTGATTGTTCCGACCCAGCCGATGAAAACATTCGTAGCTGTTTTCAAGGGTCCTGTTTCAGGCTTTGTGTACTTCAGACAAGTTGACGAGAACTCGGATACTTCTGTGTTTGTCGATCTCTTCTTTGTCAACGATGCCAATTCTAATAAAGACTTTTCGTGGCAAATTAACCGGGGCGTGGTTAGTCACGATGCTACCGATCCATCTACTTACTGCAAGAATGTTGGAGAAATGTTTAACCCAAACGTGAACGATCCCAGCTGTAATAAATCTATGCATGGTAATTGCGCCATCGGTGATATGACGTCCAAACATGGACAAATCGAAGTTTCATTAGCAACCAAAATGCAGTCATCTAAAAAAGCGGCATTCACCGATATTAACCTTCCCTTAAGTGGCGATGACTCCGTCCTGGGCAAAACGCTGCTGCTGTTTCTAACGGACCCAAAACAGGCCATTGCCTGTGCGAAGATTGTACACTTAGAGCCGAAAACATTGAAAGTTTCGTTCGTTGGAAGGACTCAAGAAGGTGTAGATGGCCATTTCACGTTTAAGCAGTACTCCCCTTTTGATGCTACAACAGCAGAGATCAAACTGACTGGGCTCAATAAAAAGGCTCAAGGGTACCACATACACGCCTACCCAAGCCCGTCGTATATGGACTTATCTCCAAATGAGTCCTGTACCGGACTTGTTGCTGGAGATCACTGGAATCCCTACAATGTCGATATTAAAACCAGTCCTCCTGCAGGCACAGGTAAATATTCCCCTGTTTTACTTTATTTTGTTCAACTACAATAATTAAAGTATTTGCGTGAGTCAATTTCATCCGGATAACAAGTGTGAAACAGTTGTGAAGAGCAAAAGTGGTAGTTTTCAAAGAGAAACTTGACCAATCACTTATATGAAAACCAGCATAGACAAATGTTCTTTATAAAATTCGCATAAACATCCAATTTCGATCTGAAACTGACCAAATACAATACAGCTTTCGGCTTCCTAACTTGCCTCTTCCAGTACCGCGCAGCAAATGTTTTGAGCAGAAGAGCTAAAGACGAAATCATACGCTTCAGCCAACAAGGCTGGGGACGGGGGCATGCTTAGCAGGCAAGTTTTTTACAAAAAGGGGGGAGGACTAAAGCCCCTCATAGCCCCTCCCTCTGCGTGGTCCCAGATTGTTCATGTCTATTCAACATTACACAGTAATAGACCATACGAAAAACTTAACAAAATCCCCAAAAATTAAAAAAGTGTAAAAAGTCAATTCCTCGTTGTAGTACAACGAGTAAATGTTTTATTGTCGTCTTTATATACGGAGGAACCGTAGAATTTGCATGTATGTGATTTAACCGCCGTACTAGCTACTGCTGCTGATCAGTTTCCTTATTTCCCTCAGGAACAGACGATGAGTACGAAGTTGGTGACTTAAGTGGAAAGTATGGGACCTTTTTAAACCTCTCGGCAGTTAGCAAAACGATCGTGGACTATAATCTTCCAATGTTTGGCAGAAACAGCATCCAGGGACGCTCTTTGGTCATTCACAAACTGAAGATTCAGGACAACAATATGCGCTGGGTCTGCAATAATCTCATGCCAGTGGTAGATATAGGCATCACCTACTTCATGAAAGCCATCGCGAATATCAGTGGACCATCAGTAGAGGGAATGGTTGTACTGGCAAGTAGTGATAGTACTTCTATAAACAGGATCAGTTCAATAACAGTTCTTCAAATTTTGGACCGAAGTAAACGTGGTGATTGCTGTACATTCAGTCACACTTTTTTTCTGGTTGTGATCAATTCTCTTTCTTTTTCTAGGAACAGTACTTTTCCAGCTCACCAGATGTGGCTGAGGTCGAATCCACAATTTACATTAACATCAAACACAAAGATTCTGACTCAAAAACGGTAACGTTATTTACGACTGATTATATCAAAAGGGCCAGCCTGGACGTTCAAAATAGATATATGTTGGCGATGTGTCTTCTACATGAAAATAGCTTTTCATTTGTTTCGGCTCCAAAGGCTTCTTTACAGCACAATGCTCATATTTTGAGAGCTCTAAGATACATTTGTTTAAATTTGATACTCTTTTGATATGGTTATAGTGGACCATAGTATTGCGCAAGTAACTTAACATTACTCTTAATTTCATCCAACAGAGTGGCCACCTGTGGGGAGTACATAAAAATCCTGTAGACGGAGATGCAAGTTACACCAACGTTAACGAGAGATGCATGAGTTTGGAAAGGAAATTTAATCCATACGCAGTGAAAATTCAGGTAAAATTCACTCGGCTAGTCCGTGAAACAACATCGTAGGAACTTTATTTCGCAAGTGCGCTCAGATAGAAAGCCTGCCATTTGTTCATCTTCTTAGTCTCCTCATGCAGGGATGTTAAGGATGAAGAATATCATGAAATATAACAGACAAACTTAAAAAAGCTAAAATGAATATTTTAAGGTGCACAACCTGGAACGTAACTCTTACGTTTTAGCTGTGACGTGACTCTTACGTTTTTTGTTTGTTTGTTTTGCTGCCTTTGATTGCCTTTTTCGCTTTATTACCAATATCCAGGGAGACTACTCGTCCACCTGTAGTTCAACTAACATGCTGCGCTGTGAATCCGGAGACTTATCTGGTAAACACGACCCTCTCGAAGTGGGCGGCGGCCGCGTATTTTTCAACGATGTCAATCTTCCGTTATTTGGCAGTAACTCCGGTAATAATCATGGTGTTTTTCACAATTGTGGTTTGTTCTCTTTGGCTTGTAACTGCTCTAGATATACCGCTTGTAGCACCTCACTGTCAAATGGACCCTTCTGAAGTTTGATTCTAGAAAAGTAATCCTCGCTTCGCATCGTGATTAAAGGCAAACTTTGCTGGTGTTTCTCAAGCACATCAAATATGGTAAAACGCGATTAACTTGCGGTATATTGCTTTCAGTAAAGAGCTGTGTTGGCAGGTATAATAACGATAGGTTTCTTGGCAATGAGAGCGCGTGAAATACCTCATTTATACTGTAAAGAGGGATATACCAAAATTTTGAAATAGCTGGATCAGCAGTGGATATTCCCAGAGAAGATACCTCTCTACAGCATTTTGTTCTTTTAAGTTTTATGTTCTCTTACAAGGAAGCAGTGAAATTAGTGTGTTTCGTAAGACAGGTTTAATCGGTTTGATTAACAATGCCACTTGACAGAGCAGAAACGTAAAAAATTGTCAGTTCAAACTGAAAACGAGTGTAGTTTCCTCCACGACGTTCATCCTCTAATTACAAGCGTTAAAAGAAGCTGAACTAAAGTGACCACTGGCTGACCAACGTTGACGAACATTTGTTTTTTTTTTAACAAGTTGCTGGGCGTGGCATAGCTGTGAATGCTAAAGATGGAGGGAGCGACGTACTTGGTTGCGCCAATCTCTTAGTGGACAGATCTCTATATAAAGAAAGATTCCTTTTCGCGAAAGAGTCTGACTTTTCCAGGTGAGAAGAACTTCTATCTCAGGCGCAAAATTACGATTAACTATTTATCTGAGGTCCTTTTCAAAAAAGGCTATCCTAATCGTATGGTAACAATAAAAGTAATAATAATAATAATAATAATAATAATAACAATGATAATAATGGTAGTATAACAATAATGATAACATTAATTGACCACTCCGCCATTGGCCTTTTCAGAGCCATACAAAAAAACTGAGAAAAAACATATAAAGCAAACATAATGTTTAAAAATCCAAGGAGTTGAACTCGGAGCAACAGAGAAGATATCCAGTGAGTAGCATGGTGGAGGGCTTGAAGCCAGGACCACCATTGTACGGCCCACTCAAGCCACCATCCACTCTAATGGAATAAATTGTACACTTTCCGAAAGCTGAGCTCTACGAAAAAGATCTAAAAGATGGGAAATTTTAAAACACGTGCTTTGTGTCAGGTGTGGACGGTCAACATTTTGACATCGGAACTTTTAAAAAATGTCTGCGTCATGATAACTTCTCTTTGAAATTTTTAAGCGGAATGACAAGACCTTCGTTTTAAACGTTTCTTCCGCGGGTTGTCGAGGTATAGTGTTTATCCGTTTTAAATAGAAGACGGAAAACTTTTCTTGTGTTTGAAAAGAAAAGCTGTTTTCCATCTTTTCTGGCTTAGTTTAAATGGGACCTCACTATTCCACTTTGGTGGTCAAAACGCTAGTTAAATTAACTTTGTGAAACGAACGAGTATTATGTATACAGTATTTACAGTATCATTATAGTAACTGTCGGTCTGAGCTTAGATGCTATTAGAAGGACTCGAGCCATAGTTGGCAGTTTCCTTTTTTCGTTATTAATTTTTTCTTTTATTTTTTTGCTTTCATTGACAGCTTCCATTTTGCTGATACCATCTCTAAAGCTTTGGGAATACCAAAGTGGCGCCTTTTCATGATTCGCACAGAGAAAGCCAATAGTTCCGGGTGCATGAAAGTCAAGTTTGCAATAATCGGCAAAGGTACCTGAACCACACTCTTGTGACTTATAATGGAACGCGTTAGCCTAATCCTTAGGGAAGGGTCTTAATGGGGTTAACCGTTAGCCGTGAAACGACCAAACAATTTAGCCAATAGGCGTAAAAATTGACAAATGTTAGCTGTTAGACAAAGCTAACCGTAAAAGGTTTCGTTTCACTCTAGGTTAACCGTACCCGTAAAATTATCAAAATTTTAACCGGTAGCAGTAAAAGCCATGACCCCATTGAGACCTAATTGGAACCCAGTTTTAGTTAGACATACAACAGTCCTACTGATCAGATAAACTTGAGTTAACCAATTACTAGATTCGTGAACGGGACAATGAGCGCAATGCTAGACGAGTTTACTTGGTAATTTCGGAAAGGTTTTTGATGAGTCGTTAGGCCAAGACAAAACCCCACGTCATATTATTAGAAGTATTTTTCACAAGTATTTAACATTTTTCTCAGTTATTGTCTAAATTATAGAGGGGTATTCTTATTTGAAAGCATAATGCTATTTGTTGCTTTGTGTTGCGGAACCCAAGATGTGTTTCGGCAGTAATGTGCCTTTATAGGCTCGAAAGATTTGACCTTGTGTCAGAGACAAAAAGTTTCCACGGCTGCCGACTAACTTCATAAATCGGATTCGTTTATTTGCTGACTGAACTTTCGGCTTTGTGTTTAGCTTTAGAAAAATTTTTAAACTTATCAACAGCTTTGGCAAGTAGCTTTGGCATTGAAGCATCATAATTCTTCTTTTCCTGATACGAAAAAGCTTTAGCAACCTCGAAGTAAACGCTTGTTGTTGAAAAACATCGCGTATAACGTAAATCTATACCTCGAGCAAGGCCAGGTGTAATTACTGTGCAGGACGCACTGGCATACCTCCTTAACTAGATATCTAAAGGTATTATTCGTTTTCACATTGAGACTTGAAATATACAGTCGCTGTCGAAATTTTCGAAAGCGGTGATTTCAGATCAGTTGTGGTTGACTTCAACAGCGTCACGTGCACCCATTAGCCCCAGGAATCGTTGGGATTACCTCCAAACTTTCAGCCTGAGTTCACCCCTGCACCACTTTGAGGCGCCTCCCAAGAGGTGGGGATGTATACATCCCTTGGTGCTCCGATTTCGCAGGGGAATGTTTGAATAATGCTAGGATTAAAAATATGCAAATCCACGTAGAATTTGTTGAAGAACCTTTTATGAAATTTTCATACAACCACTTAAGATATTTAACTAAAGATCTAATGGTCATCGGCAGTTTAAACGATCAGTTGATTAAAGATTTAAGGATTGTTTTTACGTGCAAACAGTGGGACAAATTTACGTCAGTTTGTTGACGTCTGCTCCGAAATAGCTGGAGGTTTAGATAAGCAGTACGATTGACACTTGATTATTAGTGAATCCCTTTCGAGAATGACCGTTATTTTTTGGTATTTCTTTATAGAGAATCAAGTCAGCCAACCTGTCGCAAAATTTGACGATCTCAAGCAAAAAAATCCAGAAGCGTTCAAACCCTATATTCCAACCGAGGACTGTGGTGAGTATAAAAAGACGTGGAACACACTATGTTTGTCAGCGAGGAGTTAACGCAGGTCATGACATCCTCTATTTCTCGTCTTCTGATAAAGTCTCTGTTATTTTTTCAGATCCCTCGATAAGTGGAGCACTCGGTTATCACTCAAGCTTCGTACTGTCGATCATTATTGTGATGGTCTCTGCTTTCATGGGATGATTACGATTGACGCCAGTAATACTCGGATCATTAACCTCAAATACTCGTTGAAGCTTAGATCTCGGTGACAGCTTTTCACGATAGAGAGCTTAGTAGCATGTTACTGAATTTTTTGTCCTCTTTGCTTTCTGACAAAATGGCCAAAGACAAGCAATTTTTGTGCAGCGTTAAGATATGGTTTAAAGACCACTGAATTTGCACCAGCTTTAAACCTCACAGAACTGTAATGAATGGAATGCACCAATTACTAAATAAAATCATTGTCACCGATCAGTAGCCTTGAAAGGAATTCCAAGATGTAGTTGAACATGTTTATTGGGCCATCATCCCTTTTTTTGTGTGTCGCTGTTTGACGTAATTGTGGCCATGCATGGAAAAATGTACCTTTAACCTTAACGGATGCGAAAACCGCCTATTGCTCAATGACCCTTTACACCGTTACATCAGTTTTCAAATTCTCCATTCTGCTCTCTATGAATTTCCTATGATACTTACTAGGAGAATTAGGAGCAATCACGTGCTTCTTGAGTTTGTGATAATTTCCTCTATTCTCGTAACCCTAGTGTTTGATGTAGGGCTGATACTGTTGCGAGATTTAAGATTCTTGTCACTCCTTGGGTTTGAAGGAGTAAGGAAACCTCTGAAGGACGGCTGATGGATGCTCAACGTTTATGGTCGTTTTACAGTGAAGCGTTAAGGTTCGTTTACTCTTGTAACTCAATGAATCAATTCATTTAATAAGTAACTTGGGGAGGGGAAATGCAATCAGTTGTCGGCTGTGTAGATTCTCGAGGTCTAACTTTCACAGGAGGGGAGTAGTCGTCTTGGTAGTTTAAAAAAATTTAAGATATTTTTTTTGCATTTATAATTCTCGGTCAAATGCGTATCCCGCAGCTGAGCTGAAGGAACCTGTAGAAGATTAGGAGACACATATTAGGCTCAGACTGAGTGACAAGTAGTCATACTGGTTTACCAAATTTGGTCATCCTAAATCATAATCATAATTACATAGAAGTCTAAAAGTAACTAAAAGCAAAAACTTTCTCTTTTCTGATGACTGTACCACTTTCTGTAACCATTTGCTGTCTGTGCACGTGTTTTATCCTTTCACGTAGTTGTTATCACGTGAACTAACGTTATGCTTGTGACTGCAATTCTTCCTTCTCATTGGGTCTTACGCATGTATTGTTAAAGTATTAATAGTGTTAACTACTCGGTTCTGCAAAAGTTTTTTATTCATACCCACACTTATCAAAGTAATAATCATAATAATAATAATAATAATAATAATAATGTTTATTTCTTATATTGCGCAGTCTAGCATGCGATAAAGATATGATCGAGTGCGCATTACAACACTAAAATCTTAAAGTAATAAATGGCTAGTCCAGATAATGATAATAATAATAATAATTTACAATTTTCGGAAAACAATAAAAGTAAAATATGAGTTAATAAAAGAACTAATAAAAAGCTAATTTAAAAAGATGTGTGTCTTTAGTAAAACTTTAAAAATGTTCAATGATTGACATTGTCTAATTTCTAGAGGGAGTCGATTCCATACTTTGGGCGCAGCATTTTCAAACGCCCTATCCCCGAGTGTCTTTTTTGTTCTATAGGTATTGTCCATTAGGAGTATGCCCCGGTATGATCTCAACTGATACCGCGAGCTCTCTTTGATTTTTATCAAGTCTGAAAGATATTGTGGTGCGACACCGTAGATACATTTGTGAACTAGCATTGCTATCTTGAATTCTATTCTGTGGGTAACCGGAAGCCAGTGCAGGTTGATCAGGGATGGTGTGAAAGGATCATACCTAGATATAGTACATACCAGCCGAGCACCCGCGTTCTGCAGGCGTTGCAGCTTACCAAGATGACCAGCGGGCGTACCATATAATAGACCGTTACAATAGTCTAATCGTGACATTATAATAGCCTGTACAATGGACTTCCTATTATCATATGATAAATACTTTCTAATACGCCGGATGTTATGTAGATGGTAATAAATATTCTGACATATGCTGTTAATATGTGTGGTCATATTCATGTTTGCATCAAACCAAGCACCCAGGTTTCTAACAGAGTAAACCGCAGAAACCTTTACCTTACCTACTTGCAAGTCACTCATCATAACCTTATTTAACTGTGCGCGTGTACCTATAATAAGAAACTCGGTCTTAGCATCGTTCAGCCGAAGTTTGTCTTGGACCATCCAGGTTCTTATGTCCCTGATGCAAGCTTGTAGAGCGTCAACAGCATCCGTCTCAGTAGCAGAACCATCCGGCTTAAATGAGATATAGAGCTGCGTATCATCAGCGTATGAGTGAACGTTAGGGAGATGGGATTCAACAACATCGAAGAGCTTACTTGCGTACAACGTGAAGAGCAAGGGACCAAGACATGATCCTTGAGGCACCCCTTGAGGCAGATCAAAGTCACTCGAATAGCTCCCGTTAATCAGGATTCGCTGTTTCCTGTTTGATAAATACGAGTGAAACCATTTAAGAGCGGTACCTGTAATTCCATACGTCACGCACAGGCGATTCAACAACACTTGGTGGTCAATCGTGTCAAATGCTGCACTCAGGTCTAGCAATACCAAAAGAGTAACTCGTTGATTGTCCATTGCAGCTAGTATGTCATTCTGTATCTTCAATAGGGCAGTCTCTGTGCTATGACCAAGTCGATAGGCTGACTGGAGGATGGGATACAAACCCGACTGAGTAACGTGATCGGTTGTCTGATCATAAACTGCACTTTCAACCAATTTAGAGAGATATTGCAGATTACTCACAGGTCTTAAATTGGATAAGGAAGTCCCTTGCTTGGTCTTCTTCAGTCTTGGATCCACAAGGGCCGTTTTCCAATCAGATGGAAAGTGTCCCAAGGAAAGTGAAGAATTCACGACATTAGTGATGATGGGGAGAAGCATATCGGACATGCCGACTACTAAATTGGTCGGCATAGGATCAAGTTGACAGCTTTTCTTCGATGATCTACTGACCAGCTTCCTTATATCTTCCACAGAATACGTATTGAAATGATCAAGTTTGTCGTTCACAAAGTCTGAGTAGAAAGCATGCTTAGCCCGTGTACTTAAATAAGTAACGTGGGTCTTGAGTTTCTTGAATGCCAACAAATCTTCCTGTGATCGTGTTCTTCTCCATCTCCGTTCTGCTTTCCGGCGTCGCCTTTTTGCCCCGGCTATCTCACTGGTATACCAGGGTACCTTGGGCCTAGCCCGCACTGTTTTGGTTTTTAAAGGTGCGTGACGATCAAGAACTTGAGAGAGTGTGGTCGTGTAATCCTCTACAAGTACATCCAAATCCAGTGGGGTGATGGGATCGCTATTACCTCGATCACATAGCCCTGTAAGTACTACATCGTTCGGTAGGCTCTCAGCGTCCAAGGATTTAGTTTTCCTAAACTTTATTATCCTAGTCTGAAATGACGGCTTACTTATGGCAACATGACAATGTACAGCTGCATGATCGGAGAAATAGCGACAGGCACGTGGTGGACTCGCCAGAATATCCTCAATCTTTCTTGTTATAACAAGATCCAGGGTGTGACCACGTATGTGCGTTGGCTCTGTCACATGCTGCTCCAAACCGAGAGACTCAAGCAGATTTAAAAACTTAAGTGCATCAGTGTCATTAGGAACATCCACATGTATGTTGTAATCACCAACGACAATCAAAGGCTCTTTGGATAGAATAGTGGACTCCATCAGGTCAGAAAACTCCATCAGAAAAGTGTTAATGGGAACCCTGCGGTGGTCATCACAATTCTGTGGACGGTAGACGATCACAAGCCGTATCTTGCGGGAAGTCGACGTTTGGACCAACAACTCGCAAAATTCAAGCGACTCTTGAATTCCATCTCGAGTCGTGCTAACACGAAGTGAATCCTTGTAGAGTAGTCCAATGCCTCCACCTGTCCGTTCTTGTCGTGGAAAGTCAATAAACTTGTATCCAGGAGGACACAGTTCTATTCTTAGCGCATCATCATGGGGCTGGAGCCACGTCTCGGTAATCACAACCAAGTCATATCTACGTTCACAGACGTAATCTACAAAATCGGCTGTCTTGTTGCGCACCGACTGGGCATTCATGTGACAAAATGACAAAAAGACCCCATTTACGTAGTTGGCAGACAAACAATGCACTTTAGTAAAGTTTGAGACATTCCTAGTTGTTGATTTAGGCAATGAAGAACGTGATTGAGGCGCCCGTAAAGTTCCATTATTTTGATGGCGTGATTTCACAATTGTTGATATACCGCATCCCTCAGGACCAGGATTAAGTTTGAAGACCAGATCGCCAATTAGCACTTGATGGAATGAGGCGCATGAATTTGCATAGTAGGCTATTGGACACCTGTGCCTACGTAGGCGTAACCGACATGAGAAATCAGGCATATTCAAAATTCCCAGGAACTCGGGTGGAACGTAGTAGCTGATCCATGGACGTCGGAAGAATGTAATACAAGCAGAGCCATTAAACAGATTGGTGAGAACAACACCATTAGAGAGATCACTGTTCCATGAATAGTGAAACAATACTTCGACTCCAGCTAATAACGTGGCATTGTTCCTTATGCAAATAGGGCTCTCAGTCCAACAGTTCACTGAAGACGAGAAACAACCAAATATCCTAATATTCCAGCCAGTGAAATGCGTAAGCAACTCCAAACCCGGCCAGTAGAAAGTGTGAGGTCTTACACATATACCCTCGTGGTCGTATTTCAGAGGGAAGGCAGCAATAAATATTAAAAAGACCACAAACACGTTGGTGGTTTTTGCGTGCCTACACCTCATTTGCATCTCTCAGCGTTAGATGTAGAACTAAACTCACGAGTTTATAAATTTGGTAGCATTTCTGCTTATATTACGGTTGGGACAATATACACTTATTAACAAGTATTTGTATTGCGACAAAACATGACAAAAGACGTGAATGGCGGAATGAATAGGATTAATGATAGCTCAAATGAATTGCTGATTATGCAACAAATAGTACTCGGGAGAACCTGTCAAAACCGGCCAGGTATTTCACCAAGAGAAGACTGTGTGGCAATTTTTCTCGACATAATAGACTCACCGGTTATCCTGATTTCCTTGCTGGTAAGTTAAAACGAATAATACAACTATAGTACATATATTAGTCTTATCCTATCTGATACATATATAATTAAGGACATGTTAAATGGAGTACTCAAAATCCATTATTATTTCGATTACAACAAGCGTAACCCGATGTGTTTGTTGACTCGTGCGGCAATTAGCCAGAGTATATGAATATACAAGGGCTAAATGACAAGCATTTGATTGCATCTCGGTCAGGAAAATCTCAAAGGAGTGACATGTAGAGCTTTGGCCCCGAAAAAAATTCGCGGCATGCATCCTACGGAGGCGCTATATTTCTGTCATCAGTGTAGAGAATTACATTAACGGTTGCGGTCAGTAGGTGTCTATGCGGTTACTGAAACCTTTTGATAATAAGTTAAAGGTTCACCTAATAATTAATACTTCATCTATGCTCGAATTTCAATTACGAAAACAAAATAAATCTTGCCTTGGAATCACTTGGCACGATCACATAATGGAGGCGCAAGTCTTCGATCGATCGGCTGAGCTTTCTTTGGTTACGGGATCCAGTCTCGACCCCAAAAAGTACTGGTATGTGCTAACGAAAAGTTAGCAGATGGATTCGCGAGGTCTCAACATATAATCCTGTTGTTGATGCGGTAAATCAAATCGCTCTCGACCGTACACTCCAGGCGGGAAATGCCTCCAGTCGAAAAATAATGGGAAATTGCAAAGATGTCCGTCAAGAATAGCCGAGCTTAACAACGACATTCGGGAACTAGTAAAGGGTAATGATTATATAAGTTAAAGGTGGATGCCTCAACTTTCAGTCGAAAGAAAGAGTCCAGACATAGAGCGGTCTCGTGATATAAATTATGTGAATTCAATTTTTCGTGCCCTCTTGGGTAGTGTATACCTAAGGGTTACTTTCAATCTCTCCTATACACTCTTGGGTAATGTATACCTGACGGTTATTTTTAATCTCTCCTATACACTCTTGGGTAATGTATACCTGAGGCAAGGGTTTCAATAGAAGGCGGCTACCGGCGATAGACCGCCGGGTACTTCAACCCGCCGCCTACTTGGAGAGGTTTATATCCGGCAAACACTGAACGCAAGCATGCCTTTCCTGTTGTGACCTTCCTATCGAATTCTTAAATAAACTGGCTTCAGTAATGTAGGAAAAAATCACACATTCACCACAAACACAAACCTACTCTTTTTCACTTCGTTTACAAACGCTTAACAGTTGACGGCAGAAGAGCAGTTTGCCATTCGCGGGGAAAAAAAAAACAAACGTCATGCTTAGTCTCTCTCTCTTGCTGTGTTAGGCGTTGCTGCTAAATTACAATTTGCCACCGCTCTCTGTTATTTTACCGACCAGGAACTTGTTGTACGAATCACAAAGTGTGAAAAATAATAAATTTGTCCACGAAATCTGGTGTTGCGTGGAACAAAAATAACACATCAGTTTCAGTCGTGTATCTTGCGCGGGAGTCTGTGCAGCTGTTCCATAAGAATTGCGCGTGACATTGCACGTGATCACAAAGCACGCCTTAATAAGGGTTTGCCGGAATGGCGAAGAGACAAGGCGTCCTCGAAAATTTTTTCTCATAGAAATCTAAAGGTGAGTTATTATTTACAGTTCAACTTTTCAACAACATTTATTTTCCAGATATGGAGATTAATAGAGTGAGAAATTTGCATTTCAAAAGAAATAATTGAACCCTAACGACCACACAACACGATGTCACGACGACCTTTGTTTACAATGAGCTGAATGAAGTCAAAGGCCATTTATTTTTCCTTTTTGGATGGGAAATTTCATTTCCACCGAATAGACGTCTGGTTATACGATCAACATTTTGATAACAATAGGCTTTTTAAATACTAGTTATACAAAATAACATGGAACAATAAATTTGCTGTCTGATGTTCAGGTCGTCTTTTTAACAAGTCGATTCAATTAAATAAATAATTTGCCATCGTGCCTCTGAAGTTTATGGTTTCACAGACGGTAGAGAGGGATGGAGTTCTTTAAAATAAGTAGATAAATAAAGTCATAAGATCTGTCCCCTTTCACACAGTTCAAAACTCAGGATCTTCAGACTTACCGCCTGTCAGTACAAATGAGATCGAGGTTGAAGGTCAAAGTGTATAGAATGCAGTGCCGGGTGGTTCTTCTGGTACTCGACAAGTTCCCCAGGCGCAACAACAAAATGATCCGAATAAGAAAAACAGAAACCCAAGGAAGGATAAGTCTTCGAAAATATGGACTGCAGAGCAGGAGTTAAAATTTTTGTCATCATCGTGTGATGCTGCTGACGCTAGTGATTCACATAGTTTCCACAGGTGCAAGAATCGGACTCGCAAGACCCTGAGTTCCATGGAGGTCACCCGACTGAATGAACAATCCATTGATCGTTTTCAACATCAATGGATAATGGACGACGATCTAACCTACTCCAGTAATACAGGTGTGAACTGGTTGATATACCAGGAGGGACAGGGAATGTTTTGTTTGTTCTGCAGAAAACATGGCACATCCGTAACCAAAACGAGACCAAGAAGTATAACCTCGAGCCAGCAGTTAGATTTAAACGGAAAGCGGTCGAAGATCATGCCAATTCACAACAACACGCAGCAGCCATAACAGCAGAGCTTCTCAGCAGAGTGTCAACTTTTGAAGAAGAAGTGAGTAAAATTGAAGATGCTAAAGATGAAGTTAACTACAAAACGTTGCTTACTATGTAACGGATTGCGAAAGAGGAAATATCCAAAAAGAAGTTCACGAGTCTTCTGGAACTTCTTCAGCAAGTAGGTCTTGAAGATATCAAGTATTTCAAACACCGTTCAGCTGGTTCAGTCAGAGAGATGTTTCTTCTCATTGGTAGCGTTTTGAAAGCACAGTTGGTACATGATATATTAAAATGCTTTGGACTTTTAGCAGATGAATTTTTTGATGTGTCTAACAAAGAGCAGCTTGTCACATTTGTTAAATTCGTCCATCCTGAAACTGGCAAAGCAAATACTGCTTTCCCAGCAGCAAGCAATCTGTTGGGGAATTCAAGCTCAGCTGATGCTGAAGCAATAACAAATGCTATTGTTGCACAACAGAGGATGCTGGGATCGATAAAAAGAAGCTTTCAAGTTTTTCCTGAGATGGAGCTTCAGTTATGACAGGGGAAAGAAATGATGTTGGCGCAAGATTGCGAGCTGAAAACAAGGCTTTAATAAATATACACTAACAGTTTAACAACAAAATATGTAGATGCCTTAAAAGAGAACATTTAGAATCGATTTGATGGAAACCTTAAGGTCCTCACCGCCTTCAAGGTCTTTGACCCAACTGCTGTTCCCAAGAGAGGCGAAGCTGGCTTTAAGCGGTATGGCGTGGCAGATGTTGAATTGCTAGGAGACTTCTTCTATCAAGATCAGGAGGATAAGGATTCAAAGAAAGAAGAGCTCTTATGTAAGTGGGCAAAGTTCAAGTACAATCTTTTAGGCCTACAAAGCCAGCTCCCTCCAGAGAAAGCACGACCAAACGTAGCCAAGACACCTTGCAAATGTAAAACACCAACCGAGTGGTCTATACCCTCTTAGGTGGTGTATACCTGAGGGTTGTTTTGAATCTGTTCTATACCCTCTTGGGTAGTGTGTACCTGAGGGTTACTTTTAATCCCTCCTATACCCTCTTGGGTAGTGTATACCTGAGGGTATTTTAATCTCTCCTATACCCTCTTGGGTAGTGTATATCTGAGGGTTAATCTACTGAGAGCTTTTGAAGCTTAACGCTAACTAATTTGTCTTCGAGGGATTTAGCTGTTCAACATAATATTGGACGCGGCTCCTTAAAGCCTTCTTTCAAAAACTTTGGTTCTTTATTAGGAACAATTTCACCTGTTTGTTCTTATGGCAAGTTAGTGTTGAGTGATGTTGCATTAAAAAAGAATCTATCTTCTTACCTGCAGTTTGTTTTTCTGTTTGATGCTTGTTCTCTTGGAGAACAACATGCCAAAAACATACAGTGGAAATGTTCAATTTTGTTATATCAGAATCACTAGATGTTATGTATGTTATAAAGTACAAAATATTTTGTTCATATTTCATTTATAAAGCCCATTCTGGATGAAGCAGTGCTGAGTTCAACGGCATTGTACAGTAACTTGGCAAGCTAAACAGTTTTTAGCAGATATTTGTCTCCGGGGTTGCACTTCTCAGTAATTCTGATAATGGCAGAACCTGCTGCTACTAATAATATAAATGAAGATTCTGTTTAAATGACTATAACTAATAGTGTTTTATTGCCTGATTTACATCGGCATTTGAGGGGAAAATACCTGTTGGAAAACGCTGGAAATGCCATTTCCGAGCGTCTGGATTTCAATTTTTATGGGGGAGCATGCCCCCAGACCCCCCTAGAAGCTCTTCCCTTCGGTGCTCGTTTCCCCAGCCGCCTACATCTTTTCCCCAGCCTGCTACTTCAAAACTTACTAAAAGCACTGCTGAGGGTTATTTTTAATCTCTCCTATAACCTCTTGGGTAGTGTATAACTAAGGGTTACTGTTAATCTCTTATATACTCTCTTGGGTAGTGTATACCTGAGGGTTATTTTTAATCTCTTGCATACCCTCTTGGATAGTGTATACCTGAGGGTTATTTTTAATCTGTTCCATACCCTCTTGGGAAGTGTATACCTGAGGGTTGTTTTTAATCTGTTCTATACCCTCTTAGGTGGTATATACCTGAGGGTTGTTTTGAATCTGTTCTATACCCTCTTGGGTAGTGTATACCTGAGGGTTATTTTTAAATTGTTCTATACCTTCTTGGGTAGTGTATACCTAAGGGTTACTTTTAATCCCTCCTATACCCTCTTGGGTAGTGTATACCTGAGGGTATTTTAATCTCTCCTATACCCTCTTGGGTAGTGTATATCTGAGGGTTATTTTTAATCTATTCTATACCCTCTTAGGTAGTATATACCTCAGGGTTGTTTTTAATCTCTCGCATACTCTCTTGGGTAGTGTATACCTAAGGGTTGTTTTTAATCTCTCGCATACTCTCTTGGGTAGTGTATACCTAGGGGTTGTTTTTAATCTGTTCTATACCCTCTTGGGAAGTACATACCTGAGAGTTGTTTTTAATGTGTTCTGTACCCTCCTGGGTAGTGTATACCTGAGGGTTGTTTTTAATCTCCTACATACCCTCTTGGGTAGTGTATACCTGAGGGTTGTTTTTAATCTCTCGCATACTCTCTTGGGTAGTGTATACCTAAGGGTTGTTTTTAATCTCTCGCATACTCTCTTGGGTAGTGTATACCTAAGGGTTGTTTTTAATCTGTTCTATACCCTCTTAGGAAGTACATACCTGAGAGTTATTTTTAATGTGTTCTGTACCCTCCTGGGTAGTGTATACCTGAGGGTTGTTTTTAATCTCCTACATACCCTCTTGGGTAGTGTATACCTGAGGGATATTTTTAATCTCTTTTATACCCTCTTGGGAAGTGTATACCTGAGGGTTGTTTTAATCTTTTCTATACCCTTTTGGGCAGTGTTTACCTGAGGGTTTTTTTTAGTCTTTTCTATACCCTCTTGGGTAGTGTTCACCTGAGGGTTGTTTTTAGTCTTTTCTATACCCTCTTGGGTAGTGTTCACCTGAGGGTTTTTTTTAGTCTTTTCTATACCCTCTTGGGTAGTGTTCACCTGAGGGTTGTTTTTAGTCTTTTCTATACCCTCTTGGGTAGTGTTTACCTGAGGGTTGTTTTTAGTCTTTTCTATACCCTCTTGGGTAGTGTTCACCTGAGGGTTTTTTTTAATCTCTTGCATACTCTCTTGGTACTAATTTGTCCATGTCCGCTACCCCCTAGGTAGTGTATACCTGAGGGTTGTTTTTAATCTTTTCTATACCCTCTTAGGTAATGTATACCTTAGGATTATTTTTAATCTCCTGCATACCCTCTTGGGTAGTGTATACCTGAGGGTTATTTTTAATCTCTCCCATATGCTCTTGGGTAGTGTATATCTGAGGGTTATTTTTAATCTCTCTTATACCTTCCTGGTTAGTGTTTACCTGAGGGTTAGTTTTAATCTGTTCTATACTCTCTTGGGTAGAGTATACCTGTGGGTTATTTTTAATCTGTTCTATACCCTCTTGGGTAGTGTATACTTGAGGGTTATTTTTAATCTCTTCTATACCCTCTTGAGTAGCGTATACCTGAGGGTTATTTTTAATCTCTCTTATACCTTCGTGGTTAGTGTATACCTGAGAGTTACTTTTAATCTCTCCAATACCCTCTTGAGTAGTGTATACCTGAGGGTTATTTTTAACGTCTTCTTTACCCTCCATACACGGCAGACGCGTAAGACGATATTTATACATGTGAATTTGTTCACAATGACCTAAAGTGCGATAATGGTGTTTCAGACCAGCTTCTCCCCTGTTATAGTCGATTTTGGCAAGAGTGATGTCTTCGGTAAAGCTAAAAATGCCGTTCCAAAACCTTCGCACATAAAAGGTAATTGTAAGAATAGTTGCATTGCGCTGAAGCTTATAGACCGAACGGGGAGACCCTCTGTTGAAAGCGATGTGTATTCTCTGGATGATGTAATCAACACAGTTTCTGGACTTTAAGAGTTCAAAACCATGACCTGTGTAAAGAAGGGTTTGTCGGAGTTAGCCTTAAATTGTCCTAGGTCTTCGATCATGGAGGTGAAATCAGCTTTACCGGTACCGCTTTGTAGACTATTTTCGAGTTTCTTCTTTTTACGTGTTCTAAAGTCTTCCTGTTATATGTTTATGTAACATTTGGTCAGGACTACTTGTGGACCTTGTGTTAACGATTTACTGTTGTCTTCTTTAAGACGTCTATTTTCTCTACAGAGAAAATAAACTTAGCGTACCGCCCCTTAGGTTTTTTCGAATTAGACCCGTAGAGGCGTTTCTCTGGACTCTTGTTTCTGGAAAATGAGCGAACAAAGTAGAGTTGTATCTTGAAAATGATTAGAAATATAATCATCGGAAGTTACAGTTTTTTCCATTTTATTCGAGGGGAGCTTTATTAACTTTTTTAGAGCGATCATCGGATGTCCTGGAATGTTCAGCGAACACCTTGATGTAGTCAGCCAAAGAGATCATTCCGTCACTTATTATCCTAAACACAGGTCTTAATATGACTTATTCCACATATGCTTTTGGTGACTTGAAAATTTAGCCTTATGATTAATTTCGAAAAACTTGCAAATTTTTACCTGATTATCTCTTGCCGCATTAACAGTCTGTAGGTTACCCTCAATCAATGTAGAAACAAAAGACAATTCACTACGACTTTCTTTGTCTGAATAGGTTGGAATATGCTCCGGTCGCTATCAAGTAAATTTTGCCGGACTTTGAGTTCGTCTCAAGATAGAACAACACAAATACACAAGGAATTTTTTACAGTAACTTTAAAACCATCCTTTTGTCTTATAAAAGCTTGAAGCTCAGTAGATTTTGTCATATCGGTCATTGTTAAAACTGTCTTTGTTTTGATGCTACTTTTCGACATAGGAAAAATATGTCGGACAAAAATATTCACCAAAAAATAAATATTTCTCTGCCAGCTTCAATAACGACAGGGGATTAAGTTTAGATGATAAAACAAAGGATCATGTTCACAGAAATACCGTAGGTCTAGTACTTTCGTTACATGAGGTCACACAACTCGGGTAATATCCACGGTGAAAATTTGCATATTTGAGCGGTCGAACAAAAAAAATTATTTCTCGAAAACTAAAATAAATTTGTACAAAAAAAACTACTCCACAGTTATTAGAACATATTGGGCTACAAAATATGAAAGTAGGAGTGAAAACAAATTTGGGTGACTTCCCGCTGTTTGTTTGACGCATGTTGACATTAGCTCTTAAGTGCTTTGCGCTCGTGAGTTTTGATTTTTTTCTCAACAAAGGGCTCCTTACAGGAAGAAATCATGGGTATCACTGTTGATGATGTCATGGAAAAGATAGGCAGTTACAACCGATTTCAGTACAGACTTTTGCTGATCTGCGGTTTCATCAAGACCTGGTCTGATGGTCTCCAGATGATGCTTCCAACCTTTCTCAGCGTTGAACCGCCGTGGCGTTGTAAAGCAAACAGTTCTGCGTGTAATCTGACCGGAATTTTCAAGCCAGGAGACGAAAATTACAGCTACCGTTGTTCCATTCCTCGGGATGATTGGGAATTTGACACTAGCGATTTTACCTCCACCGTGGCTGAGGTACGAACAATAAACTCAGTTTGAATTCAGCGTCACTCCCCACGGTTTTCCCGCGCCCGTGCAGAGGATTTTGGTTCTGTTTCCCTGATCCATCTCTAAGATTCTGTGTTGTTCTTATTGCCTCCCCCCCCCTTATTGGCAGTTAATTTGCAGTCAAGTTTCTAAACTTCTCGGCCCCTTTCTACTACGTTGGTGACGACTGATTCCACTGATAAGTTATTGTTTTTAGAAGGAATTAACACTTCACTCATTTTCATTACATGCGAAAAAAGACGAATGAGCTCATACACTAAATCACTTAAATCATTTCGATTTTCTCTCAGTGGGACCTAGTTTGTAACGTATCAGCATTATCGGTCCTGACCAAAGCACTTATGTTCTTGGGTTATATGATCGGAGTTCTCTTTGGAGGCGTTTTATCAGACAAATTCGGACGCAAACCCATTGTTTATTGGCTTACAGTCCTAACGAACGTGTTCGCCTTGGCTGCTGCTTTCATTAAAATCTACTGGCTCTATGTGCTCTGCAGAGTGCTGATTGGTATAGGCGTAGGTAAGTGATTATTCGCCGTATTTCCAAGGTAAAAGGAGGTAAACGATACGACTAATAACCCATCAGATAAATAACTTGGCCTTAATTAACCCAAAGGAAATAAAACGACCGCCTCTGTATTTCTGAACTTTTCTCGCATTTTTGAACGAAGACGGCCATAGCTATCAATCTAAATATAATCACGCGAGAACCCGCGGAAGGATGTTTAATAATTACATAACAACTGAAAAGCTTTCTATCTGTGAATTTGGAAAAGAAAGGTAACAGATTTAGAGTCCTTGATAAAATGCCGAGGATCTTTTGTATCATAAACTGATTTCCCATTGGCATTCATACCGCTTTCAGACGAAATAATACAAGAAAAAGAAAAAAAACCAAATGAAGATTATAACAACGGAGCTTTGGATATTATTCTCAACAGGTAGTTCAGCTCTGGCAATGTATGTGCTCGTGTTTGAGTACGTTGGCAAGTGTCATCGTCACGTGATCGGAACCACTTTATTTTACTTCTGGATTCTGTCGCTAATGGTTCTGGCTTTATTTGCTTGGCTGATAAGGGAGTGGCGCACACTTGCTATGGCCGCGGCTATACCAGGACTATTAACGATTTTCTTCTGGTGGTAAGCAAGTACATTGTATCATGATATCGACCGAACCTAATAGGAACTAACACAGCTGTCTATGATGCAGAGCTTGCGGTAAAACCTTCATGACTGTTTAAAATCGAAATTTCCTATGTAGCTGCTATTTACCTTCTCATGCATCAGTTAAGATAATAACATGGGGATACCTGTACAGCTTTAATAAGACCCTTTAACGATTGAGACTGTTTCAATTCTCGTTGCTTATTCGCTGGATGACGTAATCAAGTCGGGAGGAGTAGCATGGGAACCACTTCCGGGAATTGAAAGCGCGGATCCAGAGATTTCTGACGGGAGGTTCGCACTTTGATTAAGAAAACAAATTTATTATTACAATTTTTCTTTTTTGCAATGGAGCCCAAATAAGCTACGAAATACTTCAAGATAGGTAATTACTTCAAGCTAAGTAATAATATGCGATCCTGTCGTTGGGAGAAGTTTGGTTTCAGCCAGGTGGTAAAATACCCTCATTTCCGATGAGAGGGGGGGGGAGAGTTTGTTTAACCCCTTAGACCCTCGCCGTGGATCCTTCACTGGTCGGAATGGATAAATGTGTCATGAACATCTTCATGGCATAGGCACATTTATGAAAAAAAAATATGAAGAAAATAGACAGTAACTCAACTTATTTCAATCCAAGATTCTATAGAAAAGAAATATCTTGTGGTTGATCCTGCTTAGCTCTCTAACTTCTGTTACGCACAACTGTTAACCTTAGGTTTCTGCCAGAGTCACCTCGCTGGCTCTTGGCGCATAACAGACCCAAAGAAGCCAGGGAAAATCTTCAAAAAGTTGCTGACTTTAATCGAAAACAGATGCCCGAAGGTGACCTAGAACAGCCAGATGCCAAGTTAACCCAGAGACAGGGAGATGTCCGGGACCTTTTCAGCTCAATGGCTATGACAAAAAGAACTCTGATATTATGGTTTGCCTGGTGAGTCTGTAGGACGTCAAATGTCGGAACATTGCTTCTCACAGAAATTTACTCGTCGAGACTGCCTAAAACTATTGCAATTAACATTTTGTCACATGTTGATGCTCAATCTGCGCCAGCTAAAACTGATTCACATTATTTCCATAGGATGGTCATATCGTTGGTTTACTACGCTGTTTCATTCAGTGCAGGAGATTATGGTGGCAACCGTTACCTGGTTTTCTTCTTGACCAGCCTAATTGAAATTCCGTCCAACTGGACTTGCATTAAACTGAACCACAGGTAGGAGGGGGGTAGAGAAGGGAGGTTTTTATCCACCTTATTACGTTGACTGATTATCTTTCAAGCATACAAGACTACTCAGACAGGAATTCGTGTCCTCTCAGAACATGGGTAAATGTGAAATAAGTATCATTATCTTACATTAGACTTACTATGAAAACTCTGATTGGTCGAGAACATGTGGTAGCGTGTGAAATTGAAATGACAACCCATAATGCTTATCATGTCGAGTTCAGAGTCTGCCTAGTTTCCAAGCCTCTCGTCCGTGTAGTGTTCTCAATCTTTTGCAAACTCAGAGAAGTATATCCGTGTGCAGATTGCTCAAATAAGTGTATAATACAACATTTATCGAATCTTGTTTTTACATGATATCATGAATTATCAAACCAAGTATCTGAGTTACCTGCTATAGCATTCGGCTTTGACAAATAACTCAAATCTCCACAGTGATAATTCATGATATCGTACTCAAAGTCATCCAATAATTTTTTATCATTTGGTTCTCAACCAAAGTCAACCCATGCCTGACGATAGAATAAACTTCTTTTGTTCAGTTTTCATAAAGAGGCGACAATAGCTGAAGAGGGAAAAGTCCCATGCTCCGAGGAAGGTTCGATTCGGGTTGCGACTCGTTCCGAACCTAGCAGTACGGTCGACCTTTTTTTTTTTCTTTGAATCAACAAAACGTAAACAAGGAATATCTAAAACTTGTGAGGAGTCATTTTTCTCTTTACGTTTTTTCGTTCGGAGTATTGGGCAATTCAAGCCGTGAGTATGATTCCTCTAAACGAACATTTGTTACAGGATTGGCCGGAAGAAAAGCACAGTGATTGGAGTGGTGGTGTCTTTCTTTGCTTCTTTGATTGCAGTCTTTTTCCAGAGAGATCTGAAGAACACCGGTAAACCTCTCTTTACGTCATTGTCAGTTATTGTAGCGCCGGTTCTGTTCTTGGGGTCACAAAAGTTACAATTACGTTAAGGGAAACGAAAAATTGATTGCAGCTAGACTCAGCCATCAGTGCTTAGACAAAGAATCACTGGTTAATGTATCGACATAATAAAGGTTAGCTGTAAACAAACTAATCCGAAATAGGGGAACTAATCATCATTACATTACCAAGTTAAAGCAAGTACCATCCTGAATTATTTAGGATGTCGGCTGCAAAATACTTTTTTTTAATATCATTGCTCTGTTTTTCAGGTTTCATGTTGGCAAACATAATTATGGCACAAGGGGTGGCGAAGTTTTTTATCAACATGTCGTTCAGTTCAATCTATGTCTACTCAAGCGAGCTCTTCCCGACCGTTGTCAGGTATTTTTTTTATTTCAAACTTTCCTGCGTTATGCCATTTTCCTAAGGCAAGAAATAAACATAACCACACGCACTAATTCGTTCTCAGCAATTTGAATATGGATCTTCCACCTTCCTGCCCACTAACTCAACTCTTTCATCTCTTTCGTGTCTTTTTTCATGATTGACAACAAGTGAATCAATAAGCGAATGATGGACTGTCTGTCTGACTGACTCGTTGACCAGCTTGATTACAGACTGGCTGAATTATTGACTGACCTATTGGTCATTAATGACCAACTGACTAACTGACTGACTGACTGTGTTACTGACTGACTTACCGTCTTACTGACCGACTAACCGACTGACTAAATTACTGTCTTACTGACTTACTCGCTCTCTTACTGACTGACTGTCTGCCTGAAAGACTGTCTTACTGACTGACTATCTTACTGACTGACTGACTGACTGACTATCTCGCTTACTGATTCACTGCACGACTTTCATGATGATTGACTATTTCAGCGACTTACTTGCTGAAAAATAGACAAATTTTATTGGCTAAATGACTGACTGACTGAATGACGATTGACGAACCGACGAACTTACGGACCAACGAACGCAACCGGCGGACTGACAGACCGATGGACGGATTGACGACTGACAGACCGATGGACGGATTGACGACTGACAAACTGACGGACTTGGACTGACGGAGTGACAGGTGAATGGCTCACGGACAGAAATTTATTATGACTGACCGGTCATGTCTGACTACTTAAATCGCCCTGACTCACTAAAATGACCTATTACCCGGCTGACTTATTCACTGGCCTACTGACTGACTGGTTGAATGATTAACCCAACTTCTTCGGGAAGGAATAATTTTGTGCCTCTTATAATTCTCTTAAAAGACCGTCTAAATAAAAGTGGCTTGGGTATGGTACGCATTACTTAACTTCTCGTCCAATTCTCCTTATGCCTTAGGAATGTTGGAACGGGAACCTCGTCTGCGGCAGCTCGTATTGGATCCATGTTGGCGCCTTATGTTGTTTGGCTGGTATGTAACTTGATTCAAATCAATTTTATTGTTGGGGGCAAAAATATCTTCGATAGGAAATAAAGGACCTTTACACATTTTTGTGAGATTTTTCCAGTATGCAAAAAAATCCTACCGCACGGTCCCCTCGACAAGTTCTCCATTAGTAAAACTCAGTGACAAATTCTCTTTGATTATGGAAAACAGCGGTAAGTCCAGATCATCTTGCCGCACTCCTATGTGGTAGTGATCGCTGCGATTTTCGCTAGCTTGCGCTCATCGTTAAGCAGAGATATGTACCAATTCCTGTGTCAAGGAAAACTTCTCGGATCGAGCTCAAATGTAAAACCCGCCAACTTCGTTTTTATTCTATCAATAGATGCGTATTCACATTCTCTTGCCATACTCCATCGTGGCAGTGCTTGCTTTTGTCTGCGCGGGTCTGTGCTTCTTGCTGCCAGAAACAAAGGGCACGGCGACTCTAGAAACTATGGATTCTGTCAACAACAACCCCCCAGAGTTGACAGACAAAGAGCAGTTTCCAGTTGAGCCAAGCAAAGGGAAAGAAGAATTGGGAGAGTTACTACTAAATCAAGCCTTACTTGCGTAAAAAGTATTTTCTGTAAATGATTGCCACCATGATGGAAACTGCATTTTATAATTTTCTTTTTCGGTTTTTATAAATTGTCTTAGCATCCATTAGGAGGAAGAAATAAAGTCTTCCCCATAATCCATCTTAAAAAATACAAGCCCAGTCATTAAGGTGTGTCAGAGAGGTCCTTTACATCTCAGTTGTTCTATGTTAGATTCAAATATTCATGCGACAATATGGCGTTTGAAATCACGGAAAGCGAAGCTAGGGTAGCCCCCAACTTCCTAATTCCCCTTAATTCACTCTCGGCTATTAAATAATTTCGACCCCCTTCCCCTCCATCTTTGAAGTTTTGTTCCTCTGTCCCAGGTCACGGTTTGCTCGATATTGACATGGGTTGATTTTCCCGTTATGGCTCAAATCTACAATCCATTCAAAAATTGTGTCCCATTTTGCAGTTTTTAACTCTCCATTAACCCTTTAAACCCTAAGAGTGACTAGCATCTAATTTCTTTTTACAGTAATACTGCTGTATCATTCATTTAGATGATGATGAGAATATAAGGAAAATATCGTTAATTAACCTAAGGAGTTTTGATTGTTAAACGAATTCTCCTTGTCAGTACTAGAAGAAATGTCCAGAGAAGAGTACAGAGAACATGGATACTGATGTTAGGGTATAAAGGTTATGTGTTTCAACTGTGGGGTAAAGTATCTGGAAAGTGTGCGATGCTTAACTCACCACACTGAGAACAGGCAGCTGAGAAAACAAACTTAGAGCCTCGTCAGAATATTGACATATGTAAATAACATAAGTGAGATAATTGGTTTGACCTTAATGTTATGTTAAGTATGTTTGAATAAGGGAAGGGTAAATATAATGTTTAAATTTGCGCGAAATTTCGAGATTCGTTGGATACAGTAAAAGTGTTTCGAGTTTCCGTGTTTCTATGGTGAAATTGTCTCGAATTCTCCCCACCACTCTCGTGTTTATATGGGGCTGCATACACAAAGAAAAAGTCCTCCACCGCTTAAGTAATATCATAGTTGGGCAATGATTCTGTTTCTGAGTTAGATTTGTAACAATTGAAGCTAAAGAAAACAATGCTCTATGTAGATACATGCACGAATAAAATCGAAAGCAATCCTATTATTCAATAAAAAACACTGTAATACTCTTACCAAATTTGGTTTGATTTGTAGAGCAGACACTTGCTGTATTTAGAAGACCATATGACTTTTTATGTGAACGATCTTCCATATATAATTTCTCACTGGACAGTCCGGTGGAATAAAAGGTTTCCAAATATATTCACTTTACGTTAATGTTTACTAATTTTGTGACCATGCCTCGCGGTGCCATTCCTCTTCGTCAGTCATGTCAGTATCAGCACGGAGCTTATTAATGGAATTAAGAGCTCACGGAATGAGCTGGAAAAGATAATATAGATTCCTAACGAAATATTATGTCTCAATAGCTGTTTTATCTCTAAGATGTAAATATTTTTTTCTTAGCGTGGAAGTGTGAAGAAAGCTTTCATGTTCACTTTTGGTAAATCCCTCACAGCTCTAACTTCGTTCGTACCCTGATACACTATGCTCACGACTTGAAGAATCAGATCGGCAAAGTTCTGCATATGTTCTACACACCTGTGATACATGCATCAGTCATATGCGTTTATTCATAGAACTAAGGGCATATGTGTTTAATTATGAAAGTAAGGACACCCAGAATAAGCCGTAAAACTTTGAGGCAATGAAACCTGACGCAATTATGTATTTACACAGCCGTTTTATTTTCAAAAGTCATTTACTGTATCTTTTTTTCGAGCACGGAAGTACGAGGCTGACTTTTGTGTAAATCCCACGCAGCTCTGATGTTTTTCGCGCTCTAAGCATACTATACTCAAGAAAAGACAAAACAGGTCTGCAAAGTATTAGTGATATGTGTTTATTTATGGAACTAACAGCTCACAAAATGAACTGTAAAACTATAAGGTAATACTAAGTGGGATTCATGATGCATTTCCAAAGCTATTTTATTTTTAAAACCCAATTTTATTTTTAGCGATGAGTGCCGGGCGAAGTTCACTTTCGGTAAATCCCTCGCAGTTCTAAGTTGCATTTATTGCCCTTACTCGTACGTGTTATTTTGGCTCTGACAGCAAACAGATTGAGTTGTAAAACTATAGTACCGAATGGAATTATCTATTTCCATAGCCATGTATCTCTTAAAGTCATTTTTCTCATTTTTTTTAACAGGAAGTGCGAGGATAGCTTTTGTGTTCAATTTCGGTAAATTCCTCAGAAACATACTATGCTGAGCATACTATGTTCAGGACTCGAAGAAACAGGTCTGCAAAGTTCTGCATTTTGTTTACACTAATATACTACCGGGAACTAAGGTAATGTTAGAAACCAATAATTAATTGTTGCCAGAGGTCCTAAGAGAAAGCTACACTTCAGTTAGCTAAAGAAAGACTAAAAAAGTCTGAATACAAATTTACTTATATTTTTTGAAAACATAAACCTTTTAGAACCAGGTCGTACCGGAACGAATTCAAATATTTTATTTTTGCAGGGAAAAATTTGACAAAATCTTTAAGCAATTTCCAAATTTCTCGCGAAGAAAAAATTGTCGAAAACGTTTAGCAATTTCTCCAATTTTTCGCGAGCTGAAATCGACAGAACCTTTTTGCATTTTCCAAATTGTTCGCGTGGAAAAATTGACAAAAACGTTCGCAGTTTCCCAAATTTTCGCATTGGTCCCCTCAATCTAATATGTTTCAACCAAAACGTTACTGATGAGCAGATAAGTCAATTCCAAACTCATTTCGCCATTTTGTTCTATACTTTCAGATAAACAACATCGTAATTTTAATTTAAGTATTGTTGGTTCACTTCTAGCAGGCTTTTCTGCGCCGGTAGCACCAGCTTTTTGAACACGTGGTCTTGGCTTTAGCTCTTTCGCTGGCAGGTTTATAGGGACCCTCTGTTTTTTTACGACATAAGCCTACAAATCGGGCCACAATCATTTTAAGACTATTTTGTTACATGTAAATCCTTGTGCACATAATTTAGGGTAAGAAAAGCCGAGAATAACAAAATGTTTGAAGTGTTCCTTGTTTTTCCTGCCCTTTTAAAACTGAACATTTACATACTAGTAAGAATAACTTTTTTATTATGCAAAAGTAGATTATTTCAGGAACCAAACATTCTTTATTCCGTCCAATTATCTTTATTGCAACAAAAGTTATTCCTTTTATTGTTCATCAAGGTACTGCTTGGCAATGAACATAAAACTTAGCGGGTTTGTGATATAGCACAACTATACTTAGGTAACAACTAGCTTCATGCATAATTCACAAAGAACCATCAAAATGGTAAAAATGGCCTTCTTCTTCATAAAAAATTACAATCCATAGCAGCCTTCATGCAGAAGTGAAGGCAGAGGAAAAAAGCATTATTAAATACTTGATTTACTAGCAAAGAGACAGCTCACAAATCTATGTATTCGCTCTCGTGGTGGTCTGAAATCTCCTGTTCACTTTCATGAGACCTCGTTACGATCGTCTTCTAACACAATCCGCCGTGTCTCCTCGACTGGAGTCTACGCAGACGCAATTGTTAAAAAAAAATATATATTTCACGTGCAAATTTTTTTCCCGAAAACCCACCCAAATTTTTATGGAGACAGCTAGAAATACGGCTACGAATAAAGAAATGGGACTTGACAAACCATAACAATCTTTACGAGGGGTCCCCTGACTTTAAATATGGGAATGGTCAGAACCTACGAATTCGTACGTTGCTGGCGAAATTGTAGTATTAAACGAAAGTGAATATATGAAAGTCATATATTTAAACTGTGGATAAAGACCTGAATATGAAAGCGATCTTCGCAGTAATGAACACCACTTAAGCGGTAGTGAAAATAAGGCCTAAAAAAAAATTCAGACATGTACGGGATTTGAACCCAGGAACTCTGCGATACCGATGCAGTGCTCTACCAACTAAGCTAACAGGCCAACTGAGAGCTGGTCATTATGTTGGTTCCGAAAAAAACCCGTGAAGTGGTGAATGAACGACTGTGAATATATGAAAGTCATACATTTTAGTGTTGTTGGTTCACTTCTAGCAAGCTTTTCTGTGCCAGTAGCAGCAGCTTTTAGAACACGTGGTCATGGCTTCAATAGAATTTATTTCCTGCCGCAATTTTAAAAAGATATGTCTTAAATTGTTAAAATCTGAAAACAAAATAGCTTGTTTTGCCAAAAATTAGAAGCCTCCGAGACAGGACTTTGACTCCTTTGAAGATTAATGTTAGCGTGCCGAACGAAACGCCGTGCGCCTCAGTCCCATAGTTTCGCGCGGCGTGCAAACATCGATTTTTTTTTCTTTCTTTCGCTGATTTTCATTCACTCACGCGATGGACTTCGCCGGAAAAAGATGAACTGCTTGTAGTCTATGCGCAGGTCTATCCTTATTTACTACCAGAAACAAAAGACGCGGCAAATTAAAAAAATTGTGGATTCCGTTAACAGCACCTTTTCAGACATTGGGAAGCTTCCTTTTGAGCTAGACAAAGAGAAACTGGGAGAATTACTGCTCAAACAAACATACCCAAATTAACCCTTTCGCTCCCCAAAATCTCATCAATAATTCTCCTCACTATCTACTAAACAATTCTTAAAATGTTAGTTCTAAAAATTTGGTATCATGATTAGATCAATTAACAATCCCTTAATTGATATTTTATTATTAATAATATACATGAAAAAATTACTCAGTTCTGATCGGTTAAGATAAATGCAGTTTTCAGGTAATTCAATGCAGAAGAGGGTTATTTCAGTGCAAAGAAAGTAACAAACCAGACATTCTGATTGGTCAATAATCAAAGAAACTCACAGATAGCCAATCAAATACGAGCCTTGAATGTCGCAACATTTGGCTATGTTTAAAATTTGCGAGCGAAACAATGGCCGACGTGTTAGGTAGGTTTTCTTTCGCCACCGCAACAACAATACAGCAACTGAAAAACAGCTCTAACAACGAAAACACGGTAAAAAGCACTGCTTTTTGGTTGTCGATTTGGAAAAAGTGGTGTTTAGAGAAGGAAATTGCCAAGGAAATCAAAATTACGAGCCGATCTAGCTTAACACTTTGCTCGAGCGATTCTACGCCGAAATTAAAAACAAACATGGTTGAACCTCGCAAACGACGATTCCATTCCATCGAAAGTGATTCGGACACGGACTGAACAATTCCTTGAACTATTTAGCCGGACTCTGAACTTTTTTTCGCCTTACAGATGTGAAAATATCATGGTATATTTCTGTTTTAATCGTACGCGGTTGTTTTGACCGAATGCACAGGTTTGAATAAATTATTTTTGCGCTTGATGCGCGCACTTTGCTTCTGCGTAATTATGATAAGCAGGAGCCTATTACTTACTCCTGTGATAAGCTATCTCGTACTTTTTCATGTATATTATTAATACGTAATCACGAGCCCGTAGAGCGAGTGCAATTTTGTTAGTCTTTGAAAAAATTTACTCGTGCTTATTTATTCCAATTTGCACTCGAAATCATGTGATAACCTATACTAATGCAAATTAAGACGCCATTACATAGCGTTTAAGATCGTAAAATCCGTTATGAAACCACGCTATAGTAAATTCGCCAAAATTACAAATTGCAATAGGATATCCTGTTTTTTTTCTTGTTGGTTTGTTTATTTGCTTGTTTGTTTGTTTGTTTTTTTTTTTTTCCATTTTATCGTGCGGAACACCTCACATCTGGAACAACTCAAACTGGTACAACACAAACGTCAAATATCTATACACGCCTGCATAAAGAAGAACTCGTTTTGTAAACAGCTACGTGAAAACGTAATCAAAGATTTTGCTCCCTTACGATTCGCCCCCGTTGCGACGAATATTCATGCGCCCCCGGCGAATTTGCGATATTTGTAAATTTATGAACATCTCTTTGTCATAACCCGTGACGGTCAAACATCCGTGACAGACACAACTGATAACTTGACAACCGTGTCGCTGAGGGTGGTTACAAATGTGTAACATGTCTACAGGCCTAAGGGTCAAGAACGCGACTCAAGACCTTTTTCAAAGTCCATCAAATCATTTCAACAGGTAAGATGCTCTCTGTTCACTCCATCTATTGAAGAAGGTGACATTAGGATTAGCGGGTTTTTCTGAGTTATTAGGGACCATGAATGGTGCTTCGCTTTCTCTTTTTCGAGCTGATATTTTTGGTTGCAGTTTGCATCACTTGTACTGGCTTGGATAATTTCAATAGAAGGAGAAGAACTAATTGAAGCCGATTGTTCTCCAAATTGCCACAAGTCATAGACGTTCGAACAAAACGTCGCTCAAACTTCTCGTTTCCCTCAAACAAAAACTGAGGGTCAGATGGACTAGGAGAAAAAATTGTTGAGTCCTGCCATCGCGCTCGCCAAACTACGCTAGCGGACCAAAGTGTATTTTTCCGCTTAAATCTTATCCAGACGTGTCTTGCGTACGATGACAGCTAAATTGTTAAAAAGCAAGATTGTTTGTTTATCAAAATCTGGAAGTCTCCAAGGCAGGACATCGGCTCCTTTGAAGATTGGCGAAATTTTGGCGATCCGCAAAAAATTGGCAGGGTCGCATATTTTACGCTAATTGTTGACGGATTTTTCTCTTCAATAAACAAAAAAAGCGTTTTTGCGACCTGGGCCTTAGGGTCAAATATTCCATTATAAACCAGAGAACATTTCATAAAAGGGTTACGAATTTACTAAAAGCCTTAAAATCGACGTAGTAATCAAATAAACCTGCGATATGCAAGCAAGAACCTTTTAGACTAATAAGACGACTAACGATGACATAGAGAAATTAGATTCTAGTCACTCTTAAGGGTTAAAAGGTTCAAACCTTCCATTTACATAAATGCGCATAATTAGTCATTTTTTGTGACTGAGGTTAATTTTATTACTGCCCCTCCTGATGTCGCACAATTGTCTACTGTCCACTTCTAGTTGTTTTTCTAACAAGTTTTCATATATCAGGTAGGTATTTGTTCATGCTGAACAGTTCTCACTCTTATCCTCAGTTCTTCAACTGGAGTCTAATCTACAATTAACAGATCAGTCCATATTAGCCGTTTTAACTTCGAACATATTGCGTGCATCAATGCAGATTCGCCGAACTAACGTAACAGTGAGTAGAGTTACCAGATAAACGAAGGCGTAGGACTAATCGGAGAAGTTATATATGCATACAGTTAGAAGACATACCAAGTTCAGATTAAATGACTGATTAAAAATGTTAGCTTAAGTTGTTGGAAGAATTTGTTGGTCGAAGAAGTTAGCCGCATTTACTAGTAGTAGCAGAATTCCGATCAACCAACTCAAACTATACAGTAACAGTTATTGATGGTTAAAGAATGATTTTCAGTACACTGCTAAAGAGAAGGGTAAACCAAAGTACGCTCAAGGGAAAAGTTAAACAGGTCTGTGAATTCAGGAACGGAGTGCGGGAGCAAGCAACACTTTGCCAACTATTTTGGCGGCATGATGGCGGTTCCTCGCTGTTTCACCATTCTCAAGTGATCATGAGCGCTTACCAAGGAACTTAATTAGCTTATTCATTTGCGCAAGTCACTCGAAAAGTTATCATTCAGGGCAAAAAACCGGTATGTCGAAAAAACTTTAATAGCTCAGGGCTGAAATTCGATGTGAGCATTCTTGAATAGATGCTAGACAAAACTACTTTTGTTCTTAAGGTTTTATGATGCTTTGTTTATACTCACTGATGTATAGTATGATTTTAAAGAAGCGAGCACAAGCCTCACTGTAGATCCGAAAGGTTCAGTTGTCGCAGATAATGCAACCCCCCCTTAAAAAACTTCGTCCTTCAGCTCAACATGATGTTTGTATTCAATGGAGGCTCAAGGCGAAATCTGTTGAATTACAATTTCCAAGACATTTTGTTGCACAATTTGCCAACAAAACCAATTAAAAGGAATTGAAAATGCATCTCCGGCAGAATTAGGAGATATTTGGAAATCTTCTGAAACGAGCATCTTGAGTCGTGTTATGCGCAAAGGTGTAAAATAGACGGATCACAAACTTCAGAGCGTTTACTTTTTTTCAACGCTAATTAGAAGAGCGAAGCATAGATCTCAAAGGTCGAAAAGCTTGCCGAAGCGTGAAAAATATTCCACCAGCGATCCATATTTTGAGTACTTTAGAATTCTGCCTCACTATTGGATCCATGAAAAATAACATAACCAAATCACCCACATAGACCTAACACCAGTAACTTTCAGATCACTATGCGACCAGCTTTTATCATTAAAGTGATTTTCAAATAAGTGTCGAATATAATCCTAATGTGTCTTACTTCGCCCTGTAATTGATCTAGAAAAGTCGCCCTCCCTTCTCAAAATTTAGATACAAAGGTAAAACCAGCGCAACTTGATTGATCACTCGAGCTTTTCCGCAGCGCTTCGGACGGTTTCCTTTTATTATTATTATTATTATTATTTCATTTTTTTTATTATCATTATTATTATTAGTATTATTATTATTACTATTTCAGTTTCTTTATCACTTTGTGATAGTTTCTTTGTTCTGATTCGCTCTTGCGATTGTTTTTAGGTTTCATTGTTTTTTAAGAAGAACCACTTGAAGACAAAATCATGGGTCTGACAATTGATGATTTTCTGGAAAAGATCGGTAGTTTTGGCAGATTTCAGTACAAACTTCTGTTTTTTTGTGGTTTCATGGAGCTTTTTGGAGCTGGTCTTCAGATTATGATTCCAACCTTCCTCAGCGCTGAACCTCCATGGCGATGTAAAGCAAACAGTTCTGCTTGTAATCTGACTGGAATTTTCAAGCCAGGAGACGACAAATACAACTATCGTTGCTCCATTCCACGAGGTGATTGGGAGTTTGACACTAATGAATTTAATTCAGTGGTGAGCGAGGTAAGACTAAAGGTTGAACGGAGCTGGAAGCTGCCTGAAAATATTTCAGCAACTTTCCACCATCTAGAAAACTCAGTAATTCGTTGCAGTTTTGTTCTAACGGTATCTCCTGTGTCCTTCCTATCTTAAAATCAGGAAATACCTTAACACGTAAGCTAAAGCTTAAATACTATATGAGCTCATGATCCATATTAATCTTAGCTTAGAACTGCGTTTCGTTTTCAGAACTTATTAAGGGGATTAGGCGGTCCCCTTCAGTTTGCAATGAAAATTTTCTACTGTTTTTGTCTTTCAGTGGGACCTGGTCTGTGACGTATCAGCACTGTCCGCACTGACCAAAGCTGTTATGTTCCTGGGCTATTTTATTGGAGTTGTTTTTGGGGGCGTGTTAGGAGATAAATTCGGCCGCAAGCCTATCATTTATTTCATGTTTTGCCTGAACAACATTGCAGCATTGGCTGCATCTTTCGCACAGGCCTACTGGGTTTATGTCCTTCTCAGAGTTTTGGTTGGTTTTTTTATCGGTGAGTTGATCAGTATTTTTGAATTTTTTTTAATTCTGGACGAACGTAAAAGACTCTCTGGATCAATTCGATTTAAAAGAAGCAAATATTCTGTGTAAAACTCTAACATTCAGGCTACGCTACAATGAACAATAGAGTAGGATAAGATGATCAGCGCTTTGTTTTTAGAAAGATTATACAAATCAGAGTTTTTAGAAAATGGCCTGTTTACCTTGCCACTGTTTGGTTTAAAAAAAGAGTATACTTCGTCCCTGTTCTGAACTAATGTGCTTTAATTCGAAAGTTTGTGATAAACATCTTCAGGGCAACCGAAAGCGTTCTTCTGAGCTTATTTATGTCCAAGAAGAACCTTGAGTTGCCTTTCGTCAGCCCAATCAATATGGGACGTTCTTTGAAGTCTCATCGCGAAGTGTGGGTCTCGACAACGTCTCTTTATTGGTCACGTCACTGCTCACGGTACGTTCGAAGTCAATGACCGAGCCGAGAATTCAGTGCCACTGTCTGTGTTTCGCCCGCACAGACAGAGACTGGGACTGGGAGAGCATGCATGGGAACCTCTCAATTTTTAAATCAGTTTAAAGTGTGTTTTATTAGCTATGGCTTTTAGAATGACACCAGATGATCAATGTAATGATTTCCAACAGGGGTCGGAGGCTTGGGCTTGTATGTACTGTTGGTGGAGTATGTAGGAAAACGCCATCGTCACGTGGTTGGAACCGCCCTGTTTTACTTCTGGGTTCTGTCACTGCTGCTTCTGGCGTTGCTAGCCTACCTGATAAGAGACTGGCGAACGCTTTCAATCGTGGGAGCAGCTCCAGGCCTTTTGCATATTTTCTTCTGGTGGTGAGTGATGCATCATTACCATGAAAAGATGCGATAACACGCTTTCTTATTTAAATTTCAAATAAGGCAATGATCTTCTCAAGCGAGCTGCAATTTAAGCAATCGCAAAGAAGTCTGAAAATTGATTCGAACCCGTGCCTCTCAAATATATTCCAATTTATTCGAGATTGGTAGTAGGGACTTTTATGAAAAGAGCACAAAAGTTAAAGCCGAAATTTTTCAAAATGTATAGCTAACGACTATCCTCTGACGAAAAAAAGGAAATAAATACATACAAAGCGAAACAAAAATAAAAGAAACAGAAGAAAAGAAAAACTTTTAGGTGAAATTTTTCGATCCTAGGTTTCTTCCAGAGTCCCCTCGCTGGCTCCTCGCAAATAACAAGCCTAATGAAGCCATGACAGAACTCAATAAGGTGGCCGAATTCAACAGAAAAGAAATGCCCGTTGGAGACCTGGAACAAAAAGAGGATAAACAGAGAAAGGGGGATTTCCGGGACCTCTTCAGTTCAGTGACGATGACTAAAAGAACTCTGACATCGTGGTTCGCTTGGTTAGTTTGTATATCACTGTGACATTAGGCCATTTCCGAATTATCTTTGGTCTCTTTTTAAAAACGAGGGCTGGTGCTCAACCACTCGTATGAAAATGAGTTTAATTTGTGTGTGAGTGAAAACTTAAAATCATATGAAAAGATGAGCACCGGGACTCACTTTGAAAAATAGATCAAAGGTAATTCCGAAATGGGCAATTTGAAATCACCAACACATGTTGGTCTGCCTTGTTTCTGCACTGGCTTTTGCTTCTCTTTTCTTAGGATGGTAATATCGTTGGTATATTACGCTGTTTCATTCAGTGCTGGAAATTACGGCGGTAATCGTTATCTGGTGTTCTTTTTAATAAGCCTGGTGGAGTTTCCTTCCAACTGGACTTGTATTTTCCTTTGCCACAAGTGAGTAAAGAGATTAAATTAAAAAGGATTCAACCTAAACTTTTTGTGACGAATGGGCTTTGTTGAACACAAACTTCAAGAAGACATACACAGATGAATTGAAATAGACATTTACATTTCATAAAATTAAATTTATAACCTTTCCAAACAGTGGTAGCTGTTTTAGCAAAGACACCCAGACAAAACTATGCATTCATTTATTCATTCAGTAAGGGGAGGCCTGCGTTTTAGGAGTCTATTTAAAAGCAAAAATATTCAAGGGTACTCCCTTAGCATCCGAATTGTGAACGTACCCAGCTGGATTGCACACTGTGGCGAGGGAGATAAAGTGAATTTTGAATAAACTGCTTCAGTTTGCCTTCAATTCGTCAATGCTTTGATCCTTAGAAACATTTCTGACTGCATGTTTGCTTCATGCATTCAATCGCAAAACTACGGTTTCGTTTATGTATCTGACTAGGAAATGGGATTTGAACAACTAAATTGACAAGTCTTAGAGGGAACAACAAAGTCTTAAAATGATTTACGTAACCCAACTCCAAATCCATTCCCAAACATTTCCTGGGTTAGGACTGAAATTTTATCATCAACTCGTTTCTATTACTGAACAGTTCGCATGTTAAACAATAAAAAAAAAAAACTTAGGTACTTGAAAATTTACGTTGATTACCAGTCAAGACAATTTAAAAAATGTCAAAACCGAATTATGTCAAACGTGAAAAAAATTGCCTTTTTTTCCAGTTCATGTATAGTTGTTATGTGTACGGCGATTGCACACTAATCTGAGAGTTGTCTTAGGATTGGCCGCAAGAAAACCACCGTTCTTGGACTGGTTGTGGCTTTCATTTCCTCTGTGATTGCAGTTTTTTTCCAACGAGATTTGAAAAACACAGGTATGTTAACTTTACTTTAACATTTTGACTCCACTCTGTTACTGAAGCTCGGAAAATGTAAGCATAGAGCATATCTGAACTCGGAAAGGAAAACAGAGAGGGCCACGACGACTCCACGCCCTTTTAGTAGCGGAATTTTTACCAAAACATGTTGTAGTCAATCGTGTTTCGGGCGATGTTCAACAACTAAATTTGACTTTACGCTTGGTGCGCGTCAATTCTGGTTTAGCTGCACAGGGACACGTAGGGTGTGGGATAGAGAAGAGGTCTTCGGTGTGCCTACAGTGTCAGGTCTTGAAATAATGATAATGTTTTATTTCTGCGTAAAATCACATGCACAAGTATCAAGTAAGTATCGATCACAAATGGGTCGTGATTTAGTTCTTAAAACTATCACTTTCAAAATGGTTCTGAGTCTAGAACTTTCCCAGAGAGAATTAATTTTACTAAAGAAAGATAAAATTTCATTTCATCATCATGGCTAATCGCGCTGGTTTTAAGAAAGATTGGAGCATCTCGAGAACGGCTCATTTAAGATTGGAACTTCGTTGATGCAATGTTGAATTTAGTTTGAATGCAATTATACACCTAATTTTTTATATATTTTCATACTTAAACCTTAGGTTTCATGGTGGCAAATATCATAATGGCACAAGTGGTCGCCAAGTTTTTCATTAACATGTCCTTCAGCTCAATCTACGTTTACTCAAGCGAACTCTTTCCGACTGTTATCAGGTATCCCTCCATCTACTGATTCTTTAATGCAGTTTTAGAGCACTCAGTCCGTTCCCTTTTCCCTCACTTTAATTGACGAGCTAGGACGTCTTCACAAGTACAATTCTGTATGCCGCCGGAAAACTGATAAGGCAAATTCAAATGACTAACGTCTTCATAGACATATTGATCGACTGACTGATTGACTGACCTAGGCTAGCTAGCTGGCTGTATAGCTAACAGGCAGACTTACTGACTGACTAACAGGCTGGCTGGCTGAGGCTGACTAATTAACAGACCGGATGATACATTATTACCGAATCCTAACTACTAACTACGACTTCCTACTTCTTCAATCGGAAAGTTCACTTCTCTCACATAGAATCCATCATAACGTAACTGTATCGTGTTTCAGGAGTGTAGGAGTAGGGACCTCATCTGCCGCAGCTCGCATTGGGTCTATGTCGGCACCATACATCAATTGGTTGGTATGTATTTCGTTCAGAGTCTATTCTACCGTTCTCTCTGTTGATGAATCTAATCCACTAGAAATAAACTTTAAAAAAAAAAAATTTTAAAAATAAACACTGAATTATAATTCGCTTAGTATCCGATGGTCGAAGTACGAAGTAAATCATTGGGAGCCCAGATGCGAGCCGCTCACAAGCAAAGTCTGATCTCGACTGAAAAAGGGATGCCTCTTTACATGTAGCCTCCACTTGAGGGATGACTCCAAGTCTTGTTCCCCAAGGATGTGCCCCGTGTGCGTAATCCACTGTAGCCTAAGTCGGAAATATAATCAGAACGTAATCTACTTGCTTACATCGAGTGCCGGTTGACATATTTGTGCTTGTCCTTCTTTGCCAACAGATAAGTGTTCATATCATCTTGCCGTACACCATTGTGGCAGTGCTTACTTTCATCTGCGCTGTTCTGTGCTTCTTACTGCCAGAAACAAAAGATTCTCCAACTCTTGAGAATATGGATTCCGTTAACAGCACCTCTGCTGAGGAACCAACCGACGAAAAGCTTCCCTTTGAACCATGCAAGGAGAAGGAAGACATGGGAGAATTGCTTCTCAGTCAAAGCTACCCAGCTTAAATGATTTATAAATGACTTGATCAATACTTAAACAATTTAGGTGTCTCTAAGCTTGGGTTGGGGGAAAAGATATTCAGTGCAAAAACGTGATTCATCTTCCAAACCAAATTTGCAAATGAAACACAATACGTTATCCTTACTTTATCTCTGTTTAAAAATATATTCAACCCCCCCCCCAACTCCAATATAATCCAAATGACACGGTCGTTTCAGCTATGTATTGTGGAATTTCCAGGGAGGTGCAGATTGTCTCATTTCGCAGAATAACCTTTCTGGCCACACCCAATCTTTCTCCTTTGCCCCTTTAGTTGAAACAACTTAATGCGAGTTGAAATTTATATTAAATGGGATCAATATTGGATAGGAATCGTTAAAAGGTCATTTGCTATGGAATAATTAAACAGCAGCGTTTTCCATGTGGGAATCTAGGAGAGGGTATCTTAAGGTTTACCATTGCACAATAAATATGCATTTTGTACACGGTAACTGCTTGGTACGCTTTGATTATTTCTGTAAATTACTTTTACGTAATAACAATAAAGTCAACAAGCAGAAGAAACAGTATCGAGAACGTGTTCGTGCGGCAGTGCTGCAATCACCGTTGATTACCATTACTATCAAGTCCTAAATCAAGTAACAGATTTAGAGAAGGTATTCAAAGTTTGTTTACGCACGAGTATGACTAAAGAATACCATCGTTTATCATAATTCCCATTCAGCCCCGAGCGCGGTTTCGTTGAAAAACACTTAACAATATTGATAAACCGTAAAGGGCGCAAGCGAGGTCATAGGACCCTATGTGTGGAGTGCATTAGAAACAGGAACACAGAAAGTGGAAGTCACGTGATACAACAGAATTTACCGCGTTAGGTCAGGGAGAACAAGAGGCTGTCGATCAAGAATGATTTCGCTGCATTCGGCCCTCACATTGAGTCTATAAGTACAAAGTATTATTTTCCACTGTAACCAACGGCTCTGACCCGATTATCGCCGTTTATATGGAATAACAATGAGAACTGCATATATGTGTGCGTAAAGGGAACAGGTAATCCAGTGCCAAGTCCCCTACAACTGTAATGCAACAACACCTGAGGGCCAAATCCTACTCCCCCTCCTCAAACACACGTACCCACCTCCTTACAATAGTGTCATAAAATTAAATATCCTGGGATGGGAAAAAGTTAAGGCTAATGTTTAAGACTGTGTGATGGTATCAGTGATTAGTTGTATTTGTATTCGTAAAGAAAGCTCCCAACGAGTGTGGCCGAGGTCAAAAGGGCGTATAGTAACCGTTACAGGTTGGAAAGCATGTACTGTGACATGTGCGACGTTACTCATTTAAAAAACATCTTTAATTTTCTATACAAAAAAAACAAGTTCATCTTTCTATACAGATATATACTACTTAACATGGCCGTGAGTCCCGTAAGATCCCCCAAGGATGGAATTCAGACGAAATCATACCAAAGCAAATTTCTTCTGGTCGAATGGTTTGAAATAGACACTAACGTAAAGGCATAGACAGTTGTTTCAACTCTTACATGCGATCATAACAGTTCCCCTTTAACCTTCCGTTAAAACAACAAAAACAACCTCATGTAAACGTTTCCAGTTGAAAGAGACGAGCCAGGATTTGTTTCAGTCATTTACATCAAAAAAGAAAAGAGCGAGTAAAGAAAACCGCTCCTCAATCAGTGCAAGAGGTTGCTCTTTAATTTACTTTTTCTACTAGTATCAGAGTAACGAGTGTTACGAAAGTGATAAACATGTACCTTCTCTTTACCTCTTTACGATATCAGTAGGTTGCTAGAGGAAACAGTGAAGAGACTCAATAGAACTATCAACGGAAAGGGATATTGCCCTAAATAATCTTGGTTTGTAAGGAAGAGTTGCTAGTCACATACAAGGAGTTCGGGTTTGCGCGATTATTTTTAAACGTTCCCACACTGAAACCGGACAGCTATGAGAGGTTTCTCGTAAAGCTCAAAGGGTGTCAGCAGAATTTCAAGGAGCGCATGTATAGAGTGTTTATCAGGTGGAAGCTTGCGCAGAAAGGAAGCCACTGTTCTGGGTATGTCAGGGGGACCCTACATGACATGAAGGACCTAAATGCCATTTCGTGTCTTACTAAATACACGTCAGAATTCAAGTTGTTTTAAATTATTACTATTTTTTACCGACCGGGGTTCACATTCACCCTGAGGATCCTTCTCCTCCCTTGGGACAAACCAGGAAACGTTCCATATGGGGGGCGGGGTGCACATGTTACTCAAGGTTTACCAACCCACAGGGAATGCAGGATTTTAGTTTACATTGGGGGTCAAGTATACCGTAACGCTCCAGTTAGTAAGCTACATTACAAGCTTGCCAAAGTGGTTAGCTCTACCGAACTTCTCATTCTCGGCAACTAAGTTGCATAAATCATGTTCAGACTGACTTATTTAAGGAAGCTTACGTTAAACATCAACAGAATGACAACTTGATGCACAAATCACAGTGTGAGGAGCCAGGATGAGCGTAGCTCATTTAACTGGATCACACACCATCATTCTGGGAGCAATGCTCATGGACATAAGCTCTTGGAAAAGAAGCTTTGCCGCGTAGGGCATACGAATACGGGACACCTGAAACGGAAAACAAGTTTGGATCTTTAGCCTCAATAAATGTTCTATCCATAAGATACTATTCAAGTTTCAAGGTCAAAATGGTTTACGCCAAATGTACTATCCCAGAATCCTTTATGATAATTTTAGAGTGACTCTTAACCAACAATAAATCAGTATATTACCACCAAACGTAAAATACAATGCCCAGTAAGATATATACTTAAAAAAACAATGAGTTGGCTTCTTGCCACCGGAAAGACCATAACACAGAGAGGCCATTTCTAACTTATATGGCGAACGATTTTTTTCAGCAATTTTCTGTAGCCGGGCTGTCGTTCAATCGCTCAAAAACAGGAAAAGTTAGGGGACATTGGTGAAGGGTTGGAAAAAGATACCAGCAACTTTCAGATAACCTGAAGTTGTACAGAGCTGGATTAAGTTCCGTGTGAGCAGGGCTTTACATTACACACCCACAAGATTAGTTCAATTACCTGCGTCTTGTTCTTACAACCTCTACATTCAAAGGTGTTATTGCGCAAGTTCGCTATGGCGATCAATCCACACAAGTTACACACGTGACAGCTATATGGATCAGACACTTCAAACAGTCGTTCATTCAGGAACTGTGCAGCGCCGTGTGCAATCATACAGTCACGTTCCATCTCACCGAAACGGAGACCACCGTCACTGAAAAGCAAGCAATATGAAACTAATAATTATTACAACTGGAGAATGGAATACTCGGTTTTCCGTTGGGGAAAAAGGGGTATTGAACGAACTAACAGTTTTTTAAGGAACTGGGAATTGCTCAAGAGATAGCAGAGAATGAAAGGGGAAAGAAACGTGAGACCAATACTCCTATACACAATTTGTTGGGACACTTGCTGCCTTCCCTGCCCATCTCCATGGAACATCTGCAAGCTCAGCATGATTCTACGGGTAATTTAGCCATAAATGAGTTGCCAGTAATGGGATTCTTGTGTTTGCGCAAAGATTTCTGGGATCGCCACGGGCAAAAATTGCAACTTGCTAGAAAAACCTGGCGAAAGGTTGTTTCGACGTCCAAAAAAACGATTTTGGAGAGAGATTATCGCCTTCTCTTCACCTTGATACAACCAAAGATTGAAAACTTAGATTGGGTTTTAGCTAATATTTACCGTTTGTAAATAAGTATAACAATATCAAAACTGTTTGTAAATGAATGTTAACACCATAAACATGGTAGACACAAAATGTTCTCTACCCACCCCCTGAGGTTGTAATTTGACACTCACCGTGATCGTCCTTCCATAGGCTGTCGAGTAAGAATCTGGACTGGACCTCTGGCCCGAGAGTGGATCTTATCGTCCACCATGTGCTTCAAGCGCTGATAGTACGTTGGACCCAAGAATACTTGCGCGTTCAACTTTCGCCCAGTAAAGCCATTGTATAAGACCTATAACCAGCAAAACAAGATAATTGCGTTGTACCGTTCTTTAAGTCACTTCTCAAGAAAAGGTAGCCATTCACTATTCCTAACTGCGCAAAAATACAAACATACGCCAAGAGCTGAGTACAAACTCCCTGCAGCATTACCGGAAGAAATGCACTTTAGGGAGTTTCCTTGTTATCACTTTGAATTCAGAGCAGCTGTTTTTATGAATACTTCGGACTTGGAAAATCGTCAAAAAGCGCTCGTAAGGAGAAAAATCAAACCGTTGTGGTTTTAAGCTCATCGTTTTGTGACCCGTACCTCATTGCCTCTCAGATGGTATCCATAGTCGTTGAGCAGTTGAGAAACTTTCTGGACGTTCACAGCGTCATTGAAGGGTGTGGCATCACCTATCTCTCCTTTGTTAGCTGACACCTGTCAATCGTCATTAGACAGCGTTAATCAAGCGATGGATCCAAAACTACAAACATGTTTATATCAAATTAACAAGGCTACTGTTCGGGATACAAGGACGTCGACATGATTATCAGAGTATGCAAAGTCTTTCTAGGAGGAAACAAGTAGGACTAAAGAGATGCATGTTCGAACTACGGGTACATGGTAGGTGCATAGGTCTGGCCTAGAATAGAAACTTGATGGAAGACTGTAGGGTGTATTAAATAGAAAAAACACCGGGTGAGAAGTCACAATTTACACCAACCCCTTCTTTTCCAGTTCACTCATAACGAATGAGAGAAATCGAGAGAGAGAACACAAATTGTGGTCTGTTACCTTTCCTTGCAGACACTCGATCAAGTGACCGATTGTCATACGGCTGGGAATGGCATGAGGGTTGATTATCACATCAGGAGTGATCCCTTCACACGTAAATGGCATGTCCTGATAAAAAAAAAACAAACAAACAAAAATAACACAGATCATTAGCATCAACAATTAAATTTTAGTAATAGTCCTTTCCATATCTCATACTGATTTGAAAAAGCTACAAATAAAGGCAAGGTACACAATCTCCGCAAACACGAATTTGCTTACCTCTTGACGATACGTTATTCCACAAGTTCCCTTCTGACCATGCCTACTGGCAAACTTGTCTCCGATTTGGGGAACACGAACAGAGCGAACCTGACAATGTAAAACAATCTGTCTGTTACTTTGAAGAACTTTGCTGGTAAGTTACTTTACTGCGCAAACACAGTTTAAATGTCAATAATGCAGCTAAGCAAGATTTTCCCCCCCTCAAGAACAGATTGCTAGTGTTACCGTTACTAAGTAATCCAAAACCATTCAAGTTTCTATGTGTAGTTGTTAATTTAATCAATTCCAATCATACCTTAATCTTAGTAAACTTGTAACCTTCCTGGTTAATGGTGACCATTACCTTGAAGTAATGAAAGCCAGAAAAACATCATTAGCAACACCTGCACCAAGAAACACAAGCACAAGAGACTATTCCTGATCCGCAACCAAGAGAAATAAAAAAGAAAAAAAAACTAACCTGATCCACAATCCCTGTCTCACTTGGACGCAAGAATGTGCTAGAGTCTTTCTTGCTAAACCTCCGAGTTGTTCCTTCCAGCTGTAGAAAAACATTGAATCTTAGCCTTTGAAGAGAGAAGCCAGTGACACTGTCTATTGTAACATTATAGTACCCAGTTGCACTAAGAACAAGCCACGGGCCGCCAAATTTGTTTCAAATATATAACATCCGGTAAAATCTATGTACCTCATCATCATTTTCTGGCAGAGTGATGGTCTTTCCTACAATGACATCATCACCACTAACTCTAGTACCAGGCGCTATGAGGCCATCATCGTCAAGTTTATCATAAGTTGCATTCCTCATACCTGAAAAGGAAAACTGTTTGTTTAACGGGGGTAATTTTCAAAAGAAACTGTGGTGCTGTGTCGGTGTATTACAGGATACTTTGGTTTTATCAACTGAGTTGATAATGTAAACTTGCCTCTGAGGAGAGTTTCTGAAGTTGAAATTTAAACTGTTTACCCTTCATCAGAGCGAAGGGGCAACAAAGAGCTCTGTCGAACGGCTAACTCTCGAATCGCCAGCTTAAGAAACTCTCCACAGTGGCTATTTTGCATTATCAACTAAGTGGATGAAACCGAGATTTGTCTGCCTGTCCGTAGCACGTGAACAGTAATGCTCTTCATAATTATCTTACATCTCTAATGACATTTTTCTGAATTGTATATCTTAAATGTTATCACATTATTCATGGTAGAATAAATAGCTGCTATTGTTGCCAGTAAAGAAAAAGGGAATAAACACACTCAAACTAGGTTAGGTTTTGGAGGCGTTTGTAACCCATGCAAAAATAAATAGTAAATCGAGTATCTAAACATCTCAATCTAAAGATCAAAGAAAAGGATTTGTAATTTTTTTTTGCCCAGAAATGACAATCATTTGTAGCACTTTATGACAAAAAAAATGGAATGCCCAGGACAAGCGGAAAAGAGGATGCCAAAAAAAAAAAAAAAAAAAAAAAAAAGCCCAGGTTAGGGTTAGCTCAGGTTAGGATTAGCTCAGGTTAGGATGAGGTGGAGAAGGGACATTGTTGATGGCCCATGCTCCGAGGGGAGCTGAGGGCTAATTAATTCGCTAACTAACAAAAAAAGAGGATCCCAGTGATTAGCATCTGCACTTCTGAAGCTAAGGCCAACAAACGACTCATGAAAACCTGAATGGTTATAGTTATCATAGTAATTATGAAAAAGCAACTTACCTTGACATGTCTCTCTGGTTGGTTTTTCAAACGTTTCTTCTTGGTCCATTCCTCTCTTGGATTCTTGATCTCGGTATGAGCGGTAAAACACAGACCTGGCAAAGTTCAAACCATCACTGTTTAATAACCACTTGACTTAGACCAAAATGTTTCATGAACACCAATGGGAAACATTATAACATTTCTGTGAGTTTTAACTGACTTAAGTCACTTTACAAATAGTATATACGTTTTAACCCTGTTACTCCCAAGATCTAACTAGCAAAGTTCTTTATTGCTTTCCGTGCGATTCTCATTATGTTAGTTCCAACAATTAGGTATTGGATCAATTAATAATTCCCAAGTTGATATTTTTCTTTATTCTTATTCCCTTTTCTGCTTGATGAAGTATTGATATTGTAAGGAGAAATTTTGTCTTGGTCACTAAAGGAATTTAAAGGGTTAACCTAAACTTTGTCCAATGAGAAATTGAGCTGTAAATGAGGGATGTTTTAGCTTGAAGATAATGTTTCACCTAAATGTGCCATTACAAAATTTGTCGGCCACAAAAAAACATTGCACTTGGTTGTAGAATTTAAACAAGAGTTGTTTTGTTCTTCACCTGTAAAGCCCTCTATCAATAGCTGAAGCATTCATGATGACTGAATCTTCTTGATTGTATCCTGTGTATGATGCAATTGCTGCTATAGCATTGATTCCTTAAAGAAAAGAAAAGAGACAGCAAAGTTTGAAAATAAGATGAGAGAATTATGGAGCTTTCTTGATGAACAATTGGATGAGCAGACCAGTCAAGTCTTCATTAATTTGTTAAGGGAGGAAGCCTTTAAACATCATTTAACTTAGAACTGACTTACAGTCTTGAACACTGACAATCAAGCCAGATGACTCTAGACTAGTAACAGCTCTCCCCTCCCAAAAACTCATTGTCAATTCCCCTTTCTGCTAGCCAAACATTTCTTACAAACCTCATCTCTGAGATTTCATTATATTACTACAACAAAGTCCCAAATAATGACACTTTACTTTCTTCTTGCCACCTTTCTGCTTGACAACTTAATTAATTGCAGGCCAACATTGCTTAATTGGTCACTCCTGGGAGTTAAAGGGTTGCCAAGATGTTACATGTTCATGAATAACTGGTACTCTAAGGTTTAAATCTTACATTCCACGCACAAGTTTTCATGCCTTTCTTCCAAACTTCACTTTCAGCAAATAGAAAATTTTATACAAGTCAACTTGAAAGCCAAATTTGTAGTCCCCAAACTGTGCTTATATACAAATTAATTTCATTTACCTGCAGGCAGTTCTCTGAATCTGAGATACTCCATAGAACGAGTGGTGACCAAAGGTTTCTGAGGGTAGTACAACACATGAGCCAATGTGTCCATACGCACATGGAAGTTAGTGATGTACACACCCATGGCTTGTTTACCCATAGCAGACTGATAGGTATTACGAGGAGACTGTCAACAAGTACAAAAGTTATGTTTAAGAGGATGCAGGGAGTAAAGACTCATAAGACTAAAGTTTACCCTATTACTTGGAAGACAGGAATGGATAGCCACTTAAGATATGATGTTTTAGGTGATTCCTCAGTATTGTATTGCATTTCCAGTACAGTACGCAAAAACAATGTAATCAGGCAATAAGCATATGTGTATTCCAAGAACACTGTATTGATTTTCGAAGGTCTTTAGCTCTTGAACAAGCAAGGTGACCTTTATTTATTAAGGCAAATTTTGGTGTGCAAATTATCTTGTTTAAATTGGAGAAATTAAAAAAAAATTATGAAAGGGAAAAAAAGTTATAGCTAAAGGCCTGCATGAAGCCTGTTACTCAAGGATACAAATCATGACCATGAATGAATGACTTGAGGAACATTTTGAGTGATTTTTCCACAAATTACATGTATATAATATCCATTTTTTTCTAAATGCTTGTGACTTCCTACCTTTCAAACTTTTTTTAATTGTTACATGTACTTTAAAAACTATTGCTTCCAACAACCTCAAATTGCACCATGACCAATGAAATGACACATGTAATTGGTGCCAGTAGAGGCATAAATGGGTTAAGATCAGCCCATCATATTTCTAAAACAAGCATGGTGACTTTCTTTTTTATTGTATTTTTTGAAACAGAAATTGGTTGGCAACATTTAAGGAAAATTTGAAAAAAATTGTTTGATAACTTTTTTCCTGAGGAATCACCTTAATTAACCATTTAAAACCCCAAGGGTGCCTAGGTGATAGGTTCTCCATAAATTGTCACCCTTGATAGTTAAACAAATTCTCTCCATCCATACCATAGGAAATGTAAAGAGAAGAGTACAGAGAATATGAATATTGATGTTTAGGTGCGGTGGTTTAAAGGCCATCCTTTTTATTTTCTTTACACCAAGTTGCCATTTTCCATTCTGTATATACAAAAAACTTGCCTAAAACTACACATAGGATGGCATTTTTTGCTGATACCAATGGCATCTTACTTTCATAAAACCACAAGGTGGCAACAAATGCTACTGGTAAGTTGGGTAGACAGTTTCTTAAAAGGATCTCTTAAATTTTGCAGAAAAAGTTTTCAAAACAAGTAACTATTAAATATTTTATGTTATACATACCAGTATTTTTTATTAAGTGGTAGTTTTTTTTAATGTGGCCTTGAGTAAACTACTTTTTTTTTTCTTTGAGTTTGAAGTTCTGAAGTATTGGATTAAAAGGAAACTATACAACCACACTAGAGGTACAGTGAAAATACATGCATATGGTTGTATACATACAATATTAGGAATTAAAAATACCTGATTGTGATCTGGAAATGGAATAATAGAGGCGCACACTCCCAGGATCATGGCAGGATGAATTTCACAGTGAGTGTATGTTGAACAGTAAGCCTGGCCTTTCTCTACCAATTCATCAGGAGTCATGGCTACCATCACTGTCTCTTCTTCATTTACATCAATATACTCTACAATTCCACCTGCCACCAAGTCTTGCCAGCTGCAAAAAGTCATGAAATCTATTTTCTTTTTACACAAAAAAATGATGCCCCAAAAAGGAACTAAATTGTGTATGTATAGTTGTCACAGGCCACCCATCCCCCTTCTCCTCGTGTCACATGTAAGTATCAATGTACATGTTGTGGTTCTCTTTTTCAGTAGTTTATAATTTTGAGTGTCTACTTTGAAGTAATTACCATATACTAGTGACATGCAAACAAATCAACATCTGTGTGGCCAATTTGATAATCAGTTTCAGTGTACTTGTTCCAAGCTAGACAGACAGCACTCCAGACTTCACTATTCTACTATTCTCAGTGCAGTTTCATGACGACTGCATGTTCTTAAAAACCTGGCTTATATCCCATTCACAACAGCAAAATATGTTTAGTTAAACAAAGATTTAAGTGAATGAAAATCAGAGACAAAGAACTGAAAAAGTGAGGATTTCCAAAGGATTCGAGTAATAACAAACTTGTATTTTCAATGTGCTACATTTGAAGTCAACAAACATTAGCTAAAAGAGCTTCTATGAAGAAAAATATTGTTAACCCTTTAACTCCTAGAAGCAATTAACCAGTAATTTCTCCCTATAAAATCCATACATTATCCAGCCACCAGGTAATGAGAATACTCAAACTTATCAGGAAGAAGTTTTAATCTTGATCTAACACCAAATTCTCATGACTTATATTTACAAAGAATTGCATGTCAGTTGGAGGGGAGAATTAACAATCAGATCTTTGGAGTTTAAGGGTCATCTGTGTTTAACAAAACTGCTATAAAACATGTTTAAGCTTTGGTATGAATAAGGATATAAGTTTGTCTCTCCAATACATGGCAGGGCGTGAAATTAACTTTTTTTTCTGATAGCCACGCTGTCAGCGTTCTAGATAGACCCTCCAAAATTAAGTTAGGGAAAAGATCTTTAACGTGCTACAAAGTGGACACTAGGATGTATGATATACAACGTTCAGGCTCATCTAAATCCAAGATGGCGTCTAGTTATCGATCGAGATGCATGTGCTATGTTTTGGAAACAAACTAAATGAGGAAGTTTGCCGCGGATTTATCTTTGCAAATTTATTTAATTCACTATATCTCTTGGTAAGGTTATGATGAAACGTTGTAGTCGCCAATTTGGCGACTAACTTTCAGGATTTGGTCGCCAAAGTGAAAAATTTAGTCGCATTGGCGCCTGTATTAGGTGCAATTTCACGCCCTGCATGGTGAAAAAAATTACTTTAGGATGGCAATAGAGGTAAAAAGTGAATGTTATAAAGATTTTGTTTAAATTAAATTATATCATTTAACAATACCTCACCTGTACTCATTGTACTCTCTCTCCTTTAACTGATCGATGTGGTGTTTCTTCAGCAACAATTTTTGGTTTTCAACAATCAACAACGGACGACAAATCCTACCAGCATCTGTGTAAATTCTAATTTCTCGTTCTCTGAAGTCTCTCACCATTGACACCTGAAAATTGAGCAGCAGTCACAGTGACATTCTTGCATGCAATGCTGCCTCCTTCTGACAGAACGGAATCTTCCTTGGTGGTAAAATGTTTTGTAAATTTTTCACATTTACCTTTTTTTCTCTGTCAGTTTGGAAGACTAACATTTATAATTATTCATAAATACATTTTTGCCATCAACAGCCCATCATCAGGCATTACCTCAGACACAATGATGTCCATCTGCCTCCTCAACTTCCTTAATGTGCTCATGAGCTGATCTGGATCTCGATGAATTCCTACCCAACATCCATTCACAAAAATCTTGGTTGCACTATGAAGAAGAAGTTTTAACAAAAATTAAAGTTTCCAACTCCACCTATTTCCTTAGCATCTAAAGCAACTCTAAGTCCTGAAACAATCTCCCCTTTTATTGCTTAAGAGAAGAGAAAAACCCTAACTCCATGGAGTTTGGTTACAAGATACATGGACTTTTGGAAGAGAAGTGAAAGAACCGAACTCCCTAGAGTTTGGTTAGAAGAATGGACTCAATGCAGGGGGCTACTTTGCCTAGACCGAAAGGTTACCCTGCAGAATTCAATATCAGATATACTGTATATTTTCAGAAATATCTGCAATTCTCACTTGCTAATAGCAGATGGGGTTATTTCTTCCAAATTCTCCATGGTCCATTCCTCCAAGAACTCCAAGATAGGACTTGGTTGGGAACCAACAGAAATATAAGCCATCAAAGCCAAGTTCTTCACCAGTCCAACAGCATGACCTTCAGGGGTTTCTGCTGGGCATATCATCCCCCAGTGGGTGTTATGGAGCTGCCGTGGACGTGCAAGCTTACCTTCTCGACCAATGGGTGAGTTTAGACGACGCAAGTGGGATAATGTGGAGGCAAAGGTCAGTCTACTGAGCACCTGAGACACCCCTGCACGGGACTGATGAGCTTTCTTCTGGTCACCCCAGTTTCCAGTGGCCAGAGAGTATCTCAGACCATCTGTGATCACTTTAGGTTTCAGAGCTAGTTCAATGTTGAAGTCCTGCAAAATGAAGTGCCATTAGCACAACTGCAAAGCTTTTCATTAACACCACAAAGGTGGCTGGTGGAAAAAGGAGTAGGTCATAGAGATAGATAAATGTAGTTCCAAATCTTCCAATACTTTCTGGCAAGCACTTGTTAGACTGGATAAGTGATGACATTTCATTGGTTTAAGGCAAAAGCATAATCCTCTAGCAATGGATTTATTTGCATTACATGATTACCTTTCCTCTATCAATAAACTTCTGGGCATACATTCTGACTTCTTTCATGAGATTTCTGAAGAGTCTAAAAATAAAATGAGAAAGAGTACATTATTTTAATATTTTACACTGAGGACCTAAATGTGTTATGACTGAAGAAAACTCATGCTTGTAAAACCTTTTTGCCCTTTCCCAAATACAGTTATCTGTTCTTGATCACAAGCCACGAGTGTGAACTGCAAGACTAGTGCTAAGACCAATACCTATAATTATGGCTTACAACTTACAAACTGAATAATAAATGAAAATTGAAAAGAATGAAAAGAAACCAAAATTGTAACAGCTACACTGTGTGCATTACAGAATGTGGGAATGAAAAATTAAACTTAAACATAAATTTTTAGGGTTTGTTGCTCTTTACAATTACATACTTCCAAATTACTTTAAGAAACCTTTCATTTTTTAACTAGTCCAAAAGTTTAGAAGTTGATTCCAAAATAACATGAAAATTATCTAGTAGTGGAAGGGTTTTACTTTGTTGTACTAAAAATATCATATTCAAGCTATGTCCCATGACTTTCAAAGACTCGCATGCAAATTCCAAGTCTATCCTGATATTTCATGACCCACAAGAACATTCAATAAACAAACCTACGGTAAATCTAAACATTTCCAATTTACATGCTTATACAATAATCTTACCCTCTGAAGAGAAAAGCAAGCAGTGGCCCTGCAAGGTCAAGCCGTTTATTCCCGTAATGATCCCGATCATCCAGTTCCCTACGACCAAGTGCTGCCAACAGTAGCCTATGAACCATGTATCTGTAAGGAAAACAATCCTATCACTGTCATCATCAGACCATTCCCTTTTTGGAATTTATGAGATGTCCACAATGGCGATCACCTTTTGTGTTAAGGCCACTTGTGTAAAAGACTTACAAGTAGTCCATTCTTTTATGAGCAAATATCACACAAACAGTGCTTGCTCTACGAAATGCAAAATAAGTGGTATATCATCACTCAAATAAAGTGAGTCAACACACAAAAATAAGCAACTCACTTTCACATGAAAAAGGTTAGTTCTTCCAACAAAGTTATCCAAATCTTTTTCTCTCAAAAAGCTTTGAATCAGATAAAGGTTATGTGCTTTCTTCTGGTACAGCTTGAATTTTAGTTAAGTAAATTTTGAAAATTCTTTATTCCAAATTTGATTTTTGACTTGATTTTTTTCTCCACAGATTAAACAGGAAATGTAAGCAAACCTTGAAACAAAATGAATCAAGTTAGCTAAAGAAAAAAATTGGCTTACCCCAGGAAGTAAGCTTTCTTGGTTTCACAAAAATCACTAACACCAACATGAGGGAGCATTTCCTTCTGAAGGATTTCCTTGGCATATTTGATACGCCTCTCCTTTGTAACACCAGGTTTGGCACCACGAGAACCAATAAAGTTCAAAGCCACATTCTGTTCTTGAATTACAAATGCCTCATCTAAAGATGGTTTTACCTAGAGATTCAGATGAGAATTTTTTCAATTTTTTCTTGGTTTGAACTTTTTTATACCAGTTTGATTTTGCTACACAATGCAAAAAGAAAATGAAACTGGTTTCCAAAACCACACATGTTACACCAACCACACATCAAAGAGGCGCAGTAGGTCCTGTAGTGTACTGAAACATGAGAGAGATCCTTGTCATCAATAACATTTTTTCAGCAAGAAAAACAACATACATTTCCTGTATGAATCATCTTCAAATGGCCTGGCAGTGGCTCAAGGTAACCCTCTACATAAACATGTACTCCTTGTTAATGCAGACTTCTATCTTGGACAATTGTTTAGCTTTGGATATATCAGAACATACATTTACAGGCAGGTGGCATGTGTATTAAAGTTATAAGATTACAAAGAGCATTTTGATACATCTTATAAGTTTCACATATATTTCCAAGGTATATGTTTAAATTTGGATATCAACACTTCAAACTGCCAATAAAATTAATCTTTGACTCAATTCTCACCATTTCCATCATTTCAGGATCATCAAAGTCATAAATGATATGCTCTAGAATATCCCGATCAGCAACAAAACCCAGAGCTCTGAATACAATCATAATGGGGATTTCTTGTCTGATATACGGTAAAGAACCAACAATCCTCTGGCCAATAGCACTTTTGCGACCTCCTTGACTTCCCTTGGCTAACATGGACACCCACATGGTGCTTGTTGGTCTTGAAGAATGCTCCAAGCATGATCTAATCTCTGCGGTAAATGAATATTTTGAATCCTTCTTGGAGAATACATATACTGTATTTGTAGCCATTTTCTCTTGGGCAATCAACACTTTTTCAGATCCATTAATAATGAAGTAGCCTCCAGGGTCAAGAGGACACTCATTAAGTTCTGTCAAGTCACGATCTGTCAAACCACTCAAGAGGCAGTAAGTGGATCGCAACATGATTGGTATTTTTCCAATGAACATTTTACTATGTTGGGTGACTTGAGGTTCGTCATCTTCTCTAATCATTGTTTTTGTGATGTCAACATAAAGAGGGGCTGAATAACTGCAAACAATCAACATCAATAATGAAAGTTGCCATACTTTTTCAAAACAATTTCATGTCTAAGTTTTCAATTCTCTTTTGGGGTATGAACTATATTTTCTCAATTAAACTCCCACAGCATCAGATTTAAACTTGTTCCAGTCAGCCTGTCCTTTAATAATGGGGTTCAGTTTTCCATCATTTAACTACAAGTTGATTTTTTTTAATCAGCCAACCTTCAAGACCCAAGGATGTAGGTCACAACAGCACAATTTTGCTCATCATTTAGCTGCATCAAACTGTTCATGGGTCTTTTTCTATGACTTATCACTTTTTCACTGAACATTTTCACTTATAAAATAAATAAATTTATGCAGCGTATACAAAAAAATTTAAAGGCCTTTTCCAACACAAATGATTTTGTATCACAAATAGCCCACACATAAACGAAGATTTTAGATTAGAAGACAAGTACTAATAAGGGTTCCGGTTTACCAGTACATGTAGTACAATGGTGGACCCATGAATCTATACTATTTTGGCTGAAAAAATACAATACAGTTCTACTCTAAACATTTTTAGACAAGTCTTTCTCAAATTGGCTAGGTGGTAAACAAGGTACCAATTTGGAAAGGAACCAACTTCATCACAGAAAGAAAATTGGTGTGCAAACCTACAAAAAGTACAGTGAAGCTCCACAGTGTACATTTTGTTAGTATTTTGTAACAAACTTAATTCAAATACTTCACTGGTATCAAACTCATTCTTGAATAGAAAGGTTTCTGACAAGTACAACTCTACAATACTTACGTCAGATTGCGTAGCCTTGCTTCGTTTGGCATCATAGGACTTGGAGCACCATCTTTTTCCCAGTGAGTTGGTTTTGACAGATAAATTTGTTCAAACTTAAGTAAGAATCTTGGCTATAAAGAAAAACATTATCTTTAAATATAAGGGAAATTTTGATGCTCATTTACTAAAGTGAATCTAGGCTAAAACTAACTCAACTCTACCCTAAGTCTTCTCAAGAAGGAAGAATGTTTATTAATTCAAGGCTGGGTTAGCCAGCTGTAAGAATCTTAGAAGCCACTTGCAGCATCCTTGTTTGATATATTCCTTGCATCATTCGCTAGGAACTGCTGCAAATTATTTTACTTTAGACTGATTGGATTTAGATCAACAAGAGAGACAGCCTATTGACACCTGTAAGTGTCAAACCGGATGTGCTCAGTGTGCAAACTCGCGGCATGACATAGCCTCCTTAACAAACTCAGTTATAATTTTGTAACTTACTGGAGTTTCAGTATCTGCAGTCATGTGAAGCGACTCCGCTTGTAGATCAATTTCAGGAGAGTCTTCGACAATTCTTTGCACAGACATCTGGATAAACTCGTCAAAGGAATCCAACTGCTGTCGAACAAGGCCTTTTTCGTCAAAATACGAGCTAATGACAATCCAGCAAGCTTCCTGCCATAAATCTCGAGTAATTTCTTCTCCCTCCTCCTCTCCATAGCCAACTTCTACGAAGAATCAGCAATAATAACTAATGACCGGCATGTTTTGTGAACGCCAGTTTGTTTTGGTTTGAAATTAAAGAGTAACAAAGTTAACCACAAATTAAAAATAGTTTCTTACCGTCTTCTGGGTCATACATGACTTCTATGTAATCTTCAGTTAATTATGACTTATATTACACCTTTCCTTTTGAGGATGGACGCGAAATGTTGATGATTCAGATGGATTTTGTAAGTACTACTACCGAGTATTCCGAGTCCGCCATGACAGACGAACTGCAAAGTCGTGTAAGTGAGGCCCAGGTTTTCAAAGGAAACGCAATGCACTATGGGAGGATGAAAATGATCTCAAGCGCAGAAAAGACGCCGAAAGTCACAACAACAAAAGGCGAGTTTGATCTTTTGGGACAATCTTGAGTACTTCATGAAAAGTCTACTATGAAACCATAACATCTTCTTCAGAGGTAACACAGGTCTTTATACTTTTCGCGTGTTTGTTTGGTTTATCTGCGGTAAACCAAAATTACTTTGGATGAAGTCTGTACCTTAATGAACCTTGGGTTTCGATGGTAACCAGCTGTATGACATTAACCCTGCTTTCGATCAAGAAACGTAAATTCACAAAGTCGAAATAATTCACCGCTATCTGAGTCATTATTAATTTAAAGCGACTAAATCATGAGTTGCCGGATAACCCGCAAAGGAATCGTTATGAAATTCGACACGTTTACGCACATAGTTCTCGAACTGTAGTGATTACGGTAAGATCGAAGCTTCGAGTGTGTTTTCATTAGAATTCTATCTTTCCTAACTTTCCCCAAATTGTATCTAATCTTCTATAAATTAAATTTTACGGTTTGATTTCTTTTCCCTTTTTATTTCCCTTCCTTGCTTGAACTGACTGGAAAACCGTTTAGTCGTTTTCAAGGACTAAGCTTATGTTCAATATAACCTTATAGATTTTGCTCGGTTTAATGATCTTTAATTAGAAATTTTCAGTATTGCTCGGAACAATTAACATTCCATTCTCACAGAAGACGCCAGTACAGTTTATTGTCGAATGATTCGATAGAGATAGTGATCAGGTTATGAGTGAAGTGAAAATGTGAAAGATACAAACCCTACGCAGGAGGGAAAGATTCGTTGTGCTCAGATGACAAGTGACAAATATGAAGTGAGCGTAAACATAGTAGACATATTGCAATTGGAAAATTCACGAACGCTTTTCAAGATGAATTCTTGCAAAGTTTGGCAGTTGTAGTCTGTTATCTGTTGTATACATTCAGAATAGATTAAGGTGATGTTATTTAAAATCATTAAATTCACATTAAGGATAGTAATTTGGTGGCAGAAAAGCAGTTACAGATGTAGAGATATCGAAAACGTGTTCGGAAGATTTTATCGTTGGAAGGATTTATAACGAAATAGTAAAAAATAGCCTTGCAATTATGGCTCTTTTGCTTTTAGAACATTGAAGAATTCTTCATCTTGTTTTCAGGGATTTCATTTTGAAGGGCTACTATGCGCTGTAGTTTGATTTTTAACTAATGCAATAATTCACGCACATGCCACTTTAATAATGTAAACATGTTTACTGTTGGTAGCTTGCAGGGATCTTTTGTGTTGGCAAATTATTGTCTCAAACACATCAAGATGTCTATTTTAAGCAATGATCAAGTTTGATAATTGCATGACTTTATTAATAAAAGTATCTGGGCAGTAGGGGGTCCACATTAAACTTTTTTCTATGTCACAATTGGTAGACCTCATAACATGGTTGGCAGAATTAACTGTCAGTCACAATTTTTTTTGTGAAAGAAAATAACGATGAGTATCTTACATAAACTTCACTCAGTAAATGCTTTGTGATTAACCATTTTTTACACTAAAATCAGTATTCTTTTTCTCTATACTGTTCCCTGTACATTTCATATATATATGTTGTTTGCTGGCTTGGAGGTCCATATGGTGAAAAAATGTGACCAAGGTCTTTAAAATACTGCCTGAGGCCATAGGCCAAGGGCAGCATTTCAAGACCGAGGTCACAGTTTTTCACCATACGGACCAACCCTTAGCCAGTAAATAACATTTTTTTTTTTTAAACTTGACAAAATTCTTTCCAAAAGAACTCAAATGATTTAGGGCTGTAAATACAGCAAGATCTTTTATAAACTGAACAATTTTTGAGCGAGCAAATGGTAGTTAAAATAGAGGTGATGCAAATTAAGGAGAGATACCTCACCAAAACATTTTCATTTCCGTAACATTAAAGGTGATTTAAAAGGCTTCCAAACTAACTTTGAAACATTAGTTTTACAAGTATCTGTCACAATCTGACACTTTTCAATTAGGGAGCGTGTAAGAAAGTAAAAGTGCAAGAACATTTGAAAAACAACAGAACTAGTTTGGCAAGGACTGTCACAACAATGTTTTCTTCAAAAACAGTCAATGATCTAACGGAAAGTATCATTCACTCTCATTGACGATTCATTCATGTACAAAGATTTACCTCTGTTCATCAAGTAAACGCAAGGAAAGTAATTGTTAGTAAATTCAAATTTGATATTTTGAAGTTGTGAGAGTTTGTTCATTTGTTTGCTGCAATGGCGTGTGTAAATCTGGTCTTTCCTCCACAAAAACTAAATTTGAATGGCACACTCCAACGAAACACACAGGGATTTAATGCAGCCTTTTCTCATCAAATTCTTTCAGTTTCTGTTGTGCAATTTATGGTACAAATGTCCAAATTGAACGGACTTGGAAAGACTCACCAAGAGCGTATATTTTTTGTTGAACTTAAATTAAAACTTTGCCCGCTCTTTTACTATGAACAAATTGTTTGAGAAAATTCGGATATTAAATGAATGAAAGTTCCATTGTTCAGTTTAAATGTAACCAAATACTTCAAGTTTTAACTTTCTATGTACTTTTTGTGAATGATTAAAATTAATTGCAGACAGTTTTTAGGCCGCTTGTCAACCAACATAATGACACTATTGCTTATACAAATTCATTCTGAAACCAATATTTTTCTGTCAACCGAAGTGATTTGAAAGAGAGAAAAGAGAGGATTCATAAGTTGCTTATTGGCTTGAGGTAGTGACTGACGTGTTTGCTTAAAAATACTGCCCAACCAGAAAAAGGAGATATATTTATGAAAAATGGCAAAAAAAGTTGGGATGTACTGGGTGACTCATGAAAGCGTTACCATGGCCCATGGGCAGAGATAGGAAAATACTGACTGGGTGAATAAACAATCAGATTGCAGGATTTGTTACCATGCCCTCTGAGAAAAAAATAAAAAATGATAATGATAATAATTATTTCTTAAGCACCATTTCCACTTATTTACAAATAGTGTTAAACGAAGTTGCTTGAGTATATAAATTTTTTCATCATAATATTTGTTAAAATAGAAATAAATCTGAGGTGAAAAAATCTCAAAGGAACAACTACATAAAAGGTCTTGACTCTACTCTTAACCCTTTAACTCCCAGATCAAATTTGTAATTCTCCTTACTGTCAATCATACAATTCTTATAATATTAGTTCAGAGAACTTAGTGTTGGATCAACTAATTATCACCAAATTGATATTTTTCTTTATTCATATCTCTTGTCTGGTTGATATTGTATTGATATTATAAGGAGAAATTCTGTCTTGGTCACTCATGGGAGTGAAAGGGTTAAAAGAACTTAGGTATGCTGTAGTTCATCCTTGGTCTGGTAAATTGTTCCAGAGTGAGGGAGTAATGACCTAAATTCCATAGTGCTCAAGATTATACTTAGGAAGTACTAACAATTCCTTGTTGGAATAGTAAAGTGTTCTTCAAAGGGCATGTTTAATTAAAGAGTCTGTTAAATACTTCCAGTTGCTCCAATTTCATGATAAGCTTTAAATGTCAAAATTAAAATCTTGAATTCAATTCTTGATTAGACTGGCAACTAATGTAGTTCTTTCAAGTGGGGGAAATGTGGTTGTGTTTCTTTGCATATGGGCCACAGCATTTTGAACATAGAGTGCTGTTGAGAGGATTTTGTGTAGCAATGAGGCGCTTCTTAAAATGATGATCATTTTCTTAATTCTCATGACTTTGGTGTTTTATTCAGCAATGATAGTTAGATGAGAAACTAGAAACCAGTCACTCTTAAGTGTTTAAGGGTTGAAACATTACAGCTTAATGAAAAATGAAAAAGCAAGGAAAGTAGCAAGGTACATGTATGAGCAAGAGGGTTTATTCTGGCTATTTTCTCTTCCCATTGTTTTCTATTGGCAGCAAATGGGAGAACTAGGATTATAGTTGATGAAAATATCATAAGTATACTAAATAAATACTGGCTTTTTATATTTGCATTATTTTAGAACAGGACAGAAGGTGGCAAGGAACCATGGGTATTTCTGCAAGTATAGCAAATTCCTCTCGGAAATATCGCACTAATGAAGAATTGCCTCCTGCTCAGAAGTCATCTAAACATTCATCTATTGAAGTAAGTGATGATGATGACGAAGAATTGAGAAGTGTGCAAAGCTTCAGACCATCAAGCCCACTGGCTCATCAAGATGCAAGGTCCTTTGCTTTTGATAAGACTTACACAAAACAGTATCGTCCAAGAAATCAAGTGGACAGGCATAGTTACCATGGCAATTTGGAACCTATTCGTCCTGGTAATAGACACATATACCATCCTGGCAGTTTAGATCGTGGTTCCAGAGATGGAAATGGTTCATATTCCACATACAGTGTGAGAGAGCCACTCTCAAGGGCTTTGGTTTCACCGAGTACCTCAAGCATCTATGGGTTGCAGCCTAGACCTGCACGAACCATGAGAGATGTCAGAGAGTATTTGTTTCACCATCCAGAGCTATTAGCTGGTAAGAAGAACAAGCAAATACAGCAATCTGTTGAGAGTGATCTGTATGGGCTCTCTACCAATCACAAGCAGATGAAAACTAAACAGAGTGTTTATATGGGACTCATAAAAGCTCCCATAATCTATGGAGCTGGTGCTCGACCAGATCATAAGCAGCTTAAGGTTGATCAAAAGTTGTACCTCAACCTTGTTTACCCTACATTAAAACCCAAAGATTACCACAGTCAGGTCATAAGATCTCGTCCTCCCCTTAAACAGGAAGGCATGGTTGTTGTGAGGAAAGATGATTATCTACGGCAGCCTAACAGATATGTCAAGAGGCCTCTGCCACACATGCTGGTGTCAAGAGTTCCAGAAGCCCCTAGTGGAAAAAATGTCCTTGGATCTGTGCATCAGGAAAGAACTATTTCAAGGGGGGAGGCTCCTACTTCCCACAGGAGTAGAAGTCAATCCCGAAGCTTAACAGGAAACACCCCTCAAAAAGCAAAAAATGACTATGTTGATTTTCCTGATGTTGTTAATAAACCACTCACAAGCAGGTCAGTTAGAAATGAACCACAAGTGCTAAGGGACAGTCAACAGATGAATGGTTTTGTTAAGTCAGGGAATTCACAGCAAAGGACTCCAAGACGTGTAAAAGAAGACGGTGAGGTTGTATTCACCTTTAATGTTGATGAACTTAATTTGAGGAAAAAGCCTGAAATACGTCGGTTTGAACATGACAAGGAAAAAGGACAAGTAGTGCCACTTTACTTCAGGAAGTCTCTGGCTTACAGCCCAAAGTATGAATATAGTGAAGACCTTCTGTCAAGTCCATTGTGAAGATGTTAGGCTATCACTAATTAATTGTTTTCTCACATACTAAGGGCAGCCTATGTGTAAATTAGTTACAGCTTTTTGATATATGGTGTTTGCATTTTTTGTTACACATGTTGTAAATGTACTTTTGCCTTTTTGCTCAAATCTAAATTTTGTGGAACTTATAAATGCAAGCAATTAAAGTTTTTGGTCACCAACTGAACATTGTCTTCAAAAAACAAAATTATGTTCAGAAAAAATTGTCACAAGAAAGAAGGATATACAATTGTGTGTCAAAAAAATTGATTGGGAAAGGTATTTAGGTACTCAGTGGGTGTTCAAAGAGCTTAGAAACAGTTGTACAAATACACACCAAAGGCTTTAATGAAGCAACAGTACCAATTATGACTGCCTGAAAAACAGTTTGCATCTTTCTTTGCATTTGAAAAACATGGGTGGTTTCTGGATTTCAATGAGAAATGTTTATGTAAAATGTATTTGTAAAGTTTTCACAGTTAGCACTTTCGAAAGATCTCTCCATGGTCATGGCAGAGAAATTCATGATGAAAGTTCATAATTTTGTGTTCTCTACAAATTCTAACTTCACTTAAATTGTGTTTGAAGACTCTATTCTTGGGCAGAAATCTATATTCAGGTGTGTTAAGCTTTTTGAAGTGTATTAATTATTTATCAAAGATCTACATTAAACTTACTAAAGACAATACCCTGGAAAATTTGAATAATTATGATGCAACGTTCACATGTTTACCTTCCAATTTAAATGTTTTGATTATTGTGGGGGTCATAAGGCTTGAAAAAACTCTTTTCAGTGGTTAGGGGGATTCAATATCCCAACCAGAGAAACAAGTCTCTTTCTTTCTTTTTTTTTTTTGTCACTGCAACTGGAAAAGGTCCTTGAAACCTTGTCAATACTGAACATTTGATTTCATTATTCTTTTATTGCCCAGACACAAAGTTAAACATTTCATTCCTTTTTCATTTTAGCTATTTTGTAGGGTTTGTACTCTATCACTCATGCATTTTAAAAATACTATATTAACCAAATAGTGTCACTTGTTGTTTGGCTCAAAGGTGATGATATGAATCTCTTTTTGTTATCCAGTTATGCTACAAGGCATTATTTTTTTTTAAGATGCTAAGTAGTATTTTAATAAGTATTAGAATTAATATAAAATACAAAACATGCACTTGTACCATTATGGAAGACAGGTCATAACTCTTGAATAAGAAAGTGATTAAGTATAGACTAGTTTTATCCATATCAGAATTCTATGATTAGAAACAATCTGTAATTCATTAACTTCATTAATTTTAAGTTTGAAAATTACAGATGAGAACATGTTAATTGCTTTTAGTGATTAATTTATTGAAACAAATTAATGTAAAAATTAAAGTCCAGCTTTTTAAGTGACACCAAGGGTTCATACAAGTTGGGATAAACCAGTTGTGAAATTATTAAGTTTCATTTTCAAGGGAGTGGGAGGCCATAATTTTATGATTCTGAAAGTGGGTTATGTGAAAGGTCATGGCAAATAACAAATAATTTGTTATGATATTTTGATTGCTCTCATTTTATTTTCAAACCCACACTTTGATTACAGGTCATGGAGAGCATCAAAGTAAATCCTTGCAAAGGTCTTAGAAAGAACTTTAACCCTGGCCTGACAGCACATAACTATATCCATGTAGATGAAACTGTTATCACTCTTACTGGTTGATTAAGTGATTATTTTTTTAATAATAAATGTTGAATCACAACAAAGAATTGTGTTGATTTTCTTTTAGTGACCCCAACCTGTTTGACATAGGTTGTGGGCTGAAATGTGACCCTTGTCCGAAGTTCGAATACCAGTCAGGGTCTTCAACTCCACAAACCAAATGAGGTACAAGTAATGTGTACTTAACCCCTTAACTGTGTTGTGTTCCTGGGTGAACTACTGTACTTTCACAGTGCCTCTCAAAACCCAGGAGTTTATATGGGTACCGGCACATTGTCAGGGAAGCCTGATGAAATGCTGGGGAGTGACCTTGCAATGGACTAGCATCCCAGCTAGGGGGAGTGGCGATACTTATAGTTGCATCATGCTTAGGAAAACAGGATAAGCTCTGGCTATAAGGGCCCTTGACTCAGACCTTAACTATCTTTATCTTCATTTGGAACAAAATTCTTCAGTCTAATTTACGTGGAAGTTTGTGGCAGTTAGTAGGGAGATTTACAAATTAAAGTAAATGGGTCTTGCAGAGCCAATACTGCTTGCATTAAGTTGGTACTGCAAACCTAGTGTTGTGGCCTAGTGTGTATATGGGTAGATAGCAGCTGGTAAGGGAACCTCGGCCTCTCTTTGGGAAGGAGTGAGGAATGAAGCATGCTTATGAGGAGACTGCTTTCCCCTTAATACAGTATATTGCATCCTTATGCTGAACCTGTCTTTGGATGTGGGCTGAGTTTGTCCTGCTCTGGGGGTTTAACTATGGGCTCTCATTTTACTCCCAGTACAAAAGTCAACAAAAAAATTCAAATTTGACCAAGAAATAGTGGACAAGAAGAGAAACTTTGTTAATGACCCCTGCTTGTTCCAAATCATTTTTATCATGAACATTTCTGGTTCTGGCCTGGGCTTACTTTTACTGGACGAGAAGGACATCAAGTTTTAAAAGATGGCCTTTTAAAGTTGGTTTAAAATCCTTTAAGGGTCGATATGTTTTTCTCAACAGCTTTAAGTTGTTTCAGCTTGTGAATGAGTCATCTCATCTCACCCATCATCTATATTTAAGGTCCTTTTTATTTAAAAACATGGTCTCTGTTAACATATTTCATTTATTTTGTATTGTGACTCAGAAACTACAAATATTTGTGTAAAAAAAATATAAGAACTTTGAAAGCTATAAGAGTGTATTTACTGGTAAGCCATATCTACTTAACAGTCAGAACGTGTTAGCTTTTCTATTTGAATTAAGTGAGATTCCACCACACCAAAATATTCAGCTACTTCCTAATTGGGTTGCTGAAAAATTAAAGAACACATGGATTTCCAGGGTAGATGAAAAAAGGAATAACCAAAGGAAAGGTTTAGTTTAAAGATCTTGTCTTCCTTTGATGTTTGTTTACCTTTGAGAATACCTGTAATAGCAGAGATTCAAAATGACAGGCCTAAAATATGTGGGCCAAATTATTAAATTTGGTTGACACAAGTTCAAATCCAACACTCAAACCCTGGCTATCTTTTCACAGCTCAGCTAATTAAGTGGTTTCTTCATATCCTACTGCACTTTCATAGGTAAATTGGGGAGTCTCTAAGGGTGGAAGAGATATATCGTCTTTAATTTCTTTAATTTCTTCAAGTTCTTTAAGTTCTTTAATTTCTTCAAGTTCTTTAATTTCTTGGTCTGACTCTTCATAATCCTTATCAGACTGTACATATGCAATCCTTTTGTCATTCTCAGCTGGTATATTTAATTCTGTATCATGAGAAATTGCCTCAGAGTCAGTTTCCTTCTGGCTCTTGATAAGATTAATGGCAAACATTTCATCCTCAAGGTCATAACCAAATTTGGACCGTAAAATTTGTCGTACATTGTCCAGGGCTTTCCTTAGCCTTGAGTTCTCTCTGTTAGAGTCCTCCAAATCCTGACTGAGAGAAAGAACCTGCATTTGCAATTCACTGACTTGTCCTTCAAGATCTTTTACAACTGATTTTTCATCTCTAGAAGCAGCACAATCAGAAGATGAACTTGTGGATGATACTGAAAAGTTCTCTGCAGATATTACCAAGCTACTTGATTGTGAACATTCTGTATTATTTTTCCCATCAACTGATTCATTAGAAGTCTTCTCCTCTAATTTTGATGAAATTTCACTTTGAACAGCTTCCTGATTTTGCCTTTCTTGCAATTTTTTCACCTGCTCTTGTTTTCTCCTCTCTTGCTCAATTTGACATTGCTTCCATTTTTCTCTCAGGACTCTTTGCTGTCGACAATGACTGTTTATCTGTAACTGCAAGGAAACTAATGCCTAGTTGAAGGAGACAAAATAACTTGCATTAAATTATTGTCACACTGGAAAACTGAAATCATTTATCACATCTCAAAGCTCAACTTTTCCAAAGTAACCATTTATCAAAGCTCAATAAAATAACATTAGTCTCCAGAAAAACAAACAAACAAAAGAAGAAGATACCTAGAACTGGTTTGACCATAAGATCTAGTCAAATGCCAGGGATTGGCTTCTCATTAGATGGGGGGTCTGGGCTTCCCTTGGAAATTTTGTAGTTTCAGACATTTGAAATTGGATTTTCCTGCAGTGTGAGGTCTATTTCAAATTATGTGCCTTTGCTGATACTAGAACTCAACCAATTTGATCACTTTTGACCAAATTATATGCTCATTAGGAGTAAAATGACATTTGTATAAAAGCTACAAACAGGTAGCCAGTGTGTTTCAAGCAAGAAGATCTACCTACTACCTGCCTGCTATTGAAACTCCTAAGCTAGGAGGACTGCTGAAATGCAAAGGTGCACCATAAAAGGAGAGATGCCTTAGGTAGCTCTGGATTGTTTGTCGATCAATCATTGTGACATACCAACCACTACATTCAAAACAGCTTGAGCTGCAGCTGACCCAAAGCAAGAGAACAGCAGACAGATTTCTCAAAAGCTTTGATAAGTTTATACATTTTTATCACAAAGGATGAATTATTTGAGGTTTGTATCTCCTTTCTCTAATTGAAACCATCTTTATTTGTGGTGGTAAATTTGAAATGATTTGCTTTGCCATAGTGTAATATTACCATGGAGTAAAATGCATTTGAGCTGAAAGCAAGGGACCAATCTACTTATGGCAGGACTTCATGTTTAAAGTATCATTTTTGTCTCTTAACCCTTTAACTCCCATGAGTGACCAAGACAGAATTTCTCCTTACAATATCAATACAATATCAACCAGATAAATATTGAATATAAAGAAAATAATAGTTGTATGGTTGACAGTAAGGAGAATGACAAATTTTATGTGGTTAATAAGTTTTTTTACCTGTTTCACTTGAGTCATCTTCATAGCCTCCAGGAGGAATTCTAAATTATCAAACAAATTTCAAAAGAAAATAATTGACATGAAATCTCTCATATATTCTGGTACATAAAAAAATACTAGTTATGAAAGTATTACCTAGCAGTAACTATCAAAATTAAGCATATTTTATAATCCTTCTTTTTTTTCTTATAATTAAATAATTTCTTGCAACAACATTCTTTGGGTTAGAATAGGGAGATCAAATGGATTATTACCAGAGTGTTGTGAGTCTCAATATTCCAATTAACAAATTGTGGTAAGAACGAAAAAAGTGGAACAAGTGGCAGCCAAGTGTGTCTCTGATGTTGTTACCCCATTCAAGCCTCTTCTGTAATCTGTTGTTGTACAGACCCATGGCAACATGGGATACATCTGCTTTATATGATAAAAAATAAAATGTTGTGCATTTTCACATCATCTATGCATCTTTCCTCCAACAGCTCTTAAGTATGAGCCAAAACATTTGTGTGAATAATTCTGGTTATCACATAACTCCTATCATTCGACATGGTATGTTGCATTACAGGTACAATTGACTTACACACTCAAGGTCAATCAATGCACAGTAAGTCGACGGTCACGTTGTCGTCTGTGTAACATTTTATTACTTGATCCCTTTAAACCTTACCTGATGCCTTTTGATGACAAATTATGGCATCGGCAAATTTCCTGTGGTTGACCAAAGCCTCAGCTTTTCGGTCCTGCTGGTGAGCCTAAAAGGGATATAGTGCGGTATGACTTAATATATATATATTTGCGACTCAATTAGAAGCACTTTTCGATCGACGTCCATGAGGCGAACGGAGACAGGCCAAACTTTGAGGACTTGTGTCCCAATAGCTGGCAAACTTACCCAGTTAAGGGGATAGTCCATGGAAACGGCTCCTAGCACTGGAAATAACCAAACACAACAATCAATCTGTTATTGTTGGCCAAATAATATCATAACAGAACAGAGTATTATGGTCGCCATTAAGAGAGAGATAGAGAGTTGAAAAAAAAAAAAAAAAAATGGGCGCATGGGCAAATCAATCATGCCTCTGTTCAAAAGCTTTGAATTATCGCTGGCGTCTTCAGTCTCAACAGTTCTTCATGATCAACCAGGAAGGTACGGGAATATTCATAAAATAGGTTGGTTAAAAATCTGCTTAATTTTTTTTATTTCTATAAGAGTAACGTACATCATTACAAGTTATACAAAACACAATTTTTGAATACAGGACGATACAAGTCTGTCGCAAATCTTGAAGAAATTTGAATAAATTCAAGGCAAAAATTTTATTAATTTTCCAAGCGCGTTAATATGATAATTGATCAGTTTTTCTTTTATCTGGGTTTCTGTAAGGGTCCTGAAAAGGACATCTTTTTATGTGCAAAAACTATGTAGACAGGGGTTAGGGGCAAACACTGCCCTTTAAAATATCTTTGAGTCAGTGATAAATCATTAAGGTTTACCACTTGCAATTAATTCACCTACAGAAAAAGACTCAGCCATCAACAATTGTTTAAAGAAAATACTTTCTTTCAAATTGATTTATATTTCTTAGGAGGGCAATACTGGTTTATATTTCTGTGCGCTAAACTGGAAAGCTATAGTACGACACATCAGATGGAAATATCTCTAATGAAGGTTATAAAGAATGAAAAATGACAGCTGTACAGATTTTTAATGGGTATAAAAAAATTCATGTCAATGATGCTGGAGTGAAATTTGGCCATTTTTGCTAAATTATATCTTTATGGCGTACATTACAGAAATATTTTCAAAAATGTTTTGAATTTTTTTAATATATGTACAGTTATTATATGCTATAGTATAATTTATAACTTTAATATACAGTTATTTACTATAATATTAAATCATATCAAACCAGTGTTATACAAACAGTCCTAATAAGTGCCTTGTTATGTCATTGGGAAAAATTCACTCTAACTTTAAGCTTTCCAAAATCCTGGATTGTGTTTGAATCAATGATTCAATTTTCAGGAATATTCATATGTTGTATAAAAATACTATAATTATAGATATACAGAAAATTGGATTAAATAAATTGTAATAATGATACTATTTATGTAAACTATATATACCAATTTGTGAAAATCTAAAATTCGATACAAAATGTTTCTCTTTTCAATGAACATCTGATGACAATGTCTTTCAATGTCTTGATGAAAAACTAAATGCTTCAAAAGCCATGCTTCTTTCAGCAGTAAAATATACATGGTATTTTATGAATGTGTAGCAGATATGTCATGAACAACATAAACACTAAAAGAGAAAGTTGGACCGTTAGCTGTTTAACCCTTTTACTCCCAATGATCTGATTGTTAACGCTCTCCTCTAGCTGCACCAAATTTCCTTGTAAAATATCTGCAAGAATTTGGTGTTAGATCAAGATAACAACTTTAACCTGATATGTTTGACTATTCTTATTACCTGCCTACTGGATAATTTATGGATATTATAAGGAGAGGTCACATGTTAACCACCTCTGGGAGTTAAAGGGTTAAAGATATTTTAACTATAAAATATATGATCCTTAATCCATCTTGTAAATCTGCCATTAATATGAGTAAAAACACTATATTTACCAGGAATTCCACATTTAGGATTACCCCAGCTAATTATTCCTCCCAGAAACCATTTCTTCTTTTTACCTTTTGTATCTCGAAATAGAAACCCTCCCCCACTGTCTCTTTTGCAAGAATCTTTATGGTTACTAGAATACCCTGCACAGAGCATATTAGATGTAACAAGCCAAGTCTCACTCAAATAAGCCCTTCGACAGTTTTTATTAGAGACAACTGGCATGTCAACTTGTTGTAATTCAGTTGTGTTTTTTCCTATTTCTGTGACTCCCCACCCTAACATTACACCCATTGTACCAGGAGTTACACCACGCCTCTGCTGCTTGCTGGGTAAACACACTGGACGTACATGATCAGTCATATTTGCTCTCCTTCTAAGTTTTATCAGTGCTAAATCTGAGTCAAAGGTCGTCCAGTTGAAGTTTGGATGGGGCACTATTTCTATGCTGTCTGTACTTTGGACATGTGGATCTCCTAGTGCATAAGTAATATCATGAACTCCAAGATGAATTTTGATACTGGAATAAAGCTTTCTTGTTTGTCTATCATATACACAATGAGCAGCTGTTACAACCCAGTTTTCTGCCACAAGAGATCCACCACAGTGAAAATGTTCATCAACAATCAAAGCTACTTGCCATGGCCACTGATCAGGCATGGCTGTGCCACCTCCAAATATCCTTAAACGGGAATGATGTGTATTGTCATGGCTCAACCTGGACTCTCCACATATGGGAAGGCAGAAAGGAACATCATCAGACCACAAACCATCATTTTCACAATGCCGTAGTCTTGGTCCATGGACGAAATAATGTTGCTTACAATGATATGTGACAAAGTGAGATCCATATTGTTCAATTTTCTTGAAATAACCATTTTGAGGTTTTTCAGGATCAGGGCATAGACTTGGTGTTCCTAGAGTAATTTTTGCAGGATATGTGATTGGACGAAATGTTGGACATGGATCTGGCTTGCAGCTTACAGCTTGTGAATTATTTCCTTCACAAATCATGTCACTATCTATGCGGTTGCATTTTCTGTTTCTCTTTCTTGTGCCACCACCGCATGTCTGGCTGCAAGCTTCCCATGGTGACCAGCTACTCCATACTGCACAGGGTTTCACTTCACAGATGTTGCTTTCCACTTGGATAGGTCCATCATTGGCATCTGCACAGTTTCCAAGATGAAAGGGACTTCTCCTTCTGCAGTACCTCAATCGGGTCTGATGTCCCTTAGAGCAAGTTGTGGAACACTGGGACCAACTTGTCCAAGAAGACCAAAAAGAATCATTTTTATCACATGGCTTGATAAAGCAGCTTTTGTACATGACATTTTCACCATGACAGCCATTGCCTCCAGCCTCTGGTTTGGGGTTGGTGCAAAATCTAAATCTCACCTGGCCTCCAGTACCACAAGATGAGGAACATGCAGTCCAATTAGACCACACATTCCATCCACCATTCACCGGGCACTCATTCTCAAAACAAGTTTTCACCTGCAGCTCTGAACCTTGGCAACCTTCATTACCCATGCCTCCATTTCCACTACAATTCCTGAATCTATGTTGCTTTCCCAATCCACAACTGACTGAACATTGAGTCCAGTTTGACCATTCATTCAATATGCTTTGATTGGAACAAAGTCCTTGCAAGCAGGTCCTCATTTCTGTCTGGTTTCCTCTGCAGGAAACAATGTTTTCTCTTTCAACAGCTTCATGGCTTGAATTCTTGCACTGCCGTGTCCTTGTCTGGTGTCCAATATCACCGGATTTACTACAGCTTGTCCAAATTGACCATTCTGACCATTCTCTGTGTAAAAAACAGGCATGCTGACTACAATATTCAGTTTGGCTAGAATTACCAGGACAATTGTTCCCTCCATGTTGTGCAGGGGGATTGCTGCATGTTCTACTGCGTGACTTTGTACTTTTACCACAGGTCTTACTGCAACCAGTCCACTTTGACCATTTACTCCACCCTCCATGAATAGGGCATGGTATTTCTTGGCAATTCTCAGTCTGAATAGTGTTTCCATTACAGGCTTGACCTCCATTCTTGGGGGCAGGGTTGTTGCAAGTTCGTACCCTAGACTTTGTACCAGTGGAGCAGCTTTTGCTACACTTAGTCCAATGTGACCAAGCTGCCCATTTACCAGGAATGGGACAAGGTGCTTTGGTACATGATGTGATTTCTAATACCTCACCAGAGCAATTTCTTCCCCAGAATTGTGGAAAGGGATTACTACAAGTTCTGTTGCGAATTCTTGTGCCATTTGCACATGTTTTGCTGCAGTCACTCCATGATGACCAGGTTGTCCATCCTCCATGGATAGGACATGGACCAAGGTCACAGTACTTAAGATCAGAGGAATTACCAGAGCAGTTGTGGCCTCCATGTTGAGGTTTTGGGTCACTGCAAGTCCTGAACCTCATCTGAGAGCCCCTTGAACATGTCACCGAACAATGGGACCAGTTTGACCAAGCAGTCCATCTTCCATGGATAGGACATGGACCAAGGTCACAATACTTAAGATCAGAGGAATTACCAGAGCAGTTGTGGCCTCCATTTTGAGGTTTTGGGTCACTGCAAGTCCTAAACCTCATCTGAGAGCCCCTTGAACATGTCAATGAACAGTGGGACCAGTTTGACCAAGCAGTCCATCCTCCATTGATAGGACATGAACCAAGGTCACAATACTTAATATCAGAGGAATTACCAGAGCAGTTGTGGCCTCCATGTTGAGGTTTTGGGTCACTGCAAGTCCTAAACCTCATCTGAGAGCCCCTTGAACATGTCAATGAACAGTGGGACCAGTTTGACCAAGCAGTCCATCCTCCATTGATAGGACATGAACCAAGGTCACAATACTTAATATCAGAGGAATTACCAGAGCAGTTGTGGCCTCCATGTTGAGGTTTTGGGTCACTGCAAGTCCTAAACCTCATCTGAGAGCCCCTTGCACATGTCACTGAACAGTGGGACCAGTTTGACCAAGCAGTCCATCCTCCATGGATAGGACATGGCTCTGTATTGCAAGACTGTTTTTGGGTCGAATCTCCATCACATATTTTTCCACCATACTGAGGAAGAGGGTTGGTACATGTTCTGAATCTTGTCCTTATTCCCCCTGAACATGATGCATTACAGCTTGACCAACTGGACCAAACTGACCAATCACCATGAACTGGGCAGAAGCCTAAATAACACATTTCTGTGGAAATTTCTGCTCCAAAGCATGGTTGTCCAGGATTTTTAGCTTGCGAGTCCTTACACGTTCTCATTCTCATTCTAGTACCCCAAGAACACGTTACACTACAAGAGGACCATGGACTCCATTCGCCCTTACCTCTGCATGGCCCTCTTGTACAACTGCGTGTTTCTTGTGAAGGCCCATTACAGGTGTTTCTAATCAACCCTTTGCGAGAGTGTCGACAAGAACGAGTCTTTCTTTTCATTCCTGTTGAACAAGATTTGCTACATGGACTCCATTCTGACCAGGCCGTCCAGCTAGCTTCACAGGCTTGACCTTTACAGCTCTTTGTCTTTATGTATCTCCCTTTGCAATTCTTTCCACCCCTCCCTGGTGGAGGATTTGTACAGCTTCTTGTCGAGGCTCGTACACCGGCTCCGCAAGTACTATTACAGGCACTCCAGGGGCTCCAATATGTCCACTGACCATTTACGCAGTTGTAATGGTCATTTGATGCGCGTATAACTGACGTTCCCTTTAAATGATCTGGCTTTGAACACGTTGCACGGAGAGCAGTTGAGGGGATATATTTTGCCTTGAATCTCAACCAGACTTTTAACCAACGCAATTCGCAGCTGCAATGAAACGGATTACCGTTAAGATAAACATCTATACCTCTTTTTAATCCACTGAAAGCTCCTTCTGGAATTGAAGATATGTTATTGTTTTGAAGTCGCAGCGTTTTTAGCTCTCTGAGATCTGTAAATGCGTTTTTCGATATGTTCACGATTCTGTTGTCTCTGATTGTAAGCGTCTTAAGTGTGGTCTGGGAATGAAATGTTCCTTCGTTAATGCTTGTTAAGTGGTTATTTGCCAGTGACAGAACTTGTAAAGAGAACGATCCTTGAAAAGCGTTTCCCGGAAACTTCTTGAGTTTATTACGGTGGAGATCTAATTGCCTCAAGGACGGTAGATCTTGAAACAATTCCTCGGGAATGCTCTCAATGGCGTTATTATCAAGATAGATCTGTTGGAGGTCTCTTAATCCGTGAAAAAGGAGCCTTGGTAGTGACGACAGCTTGTTGAAACCGGCGTTGAAAGATTTGAGTCGAATCAAGTCACGAAACACCGTCGCTGGAAAATCACGCAATTTGTTCGACCGTAAATTCAAGGTCATCAAATTTGTCAAATTTCTTAAAGCACTCTCCGGTATCTCTGTAACCATGTTCCTGTAAATTGACAAGAATTCTACTTTGAGAGGTATAGAGGACGGAATAGTTGTCAAACTTCCTTTGGAACCACAGGACATGAAGAATTGGCTCGTTGTGGTACATTCGCACTCTCTTGGACATTTGCTGCTTGTCCGGCTCAATTCGTTGGAGGCAACGACCCAAAATGTTAATGACAGGACAAACAAACTCCAAACAACTCTGGAAAACATTGTGTTAGGTACAGGAAACTTCGCGTGTTTCGCATTAGAATGTCTCGTAGATGAAACTGCTGACCTGAAGAGCTAAAAAAGAAAACAACAAAGTGAGGCACGTGTTATCTTCAGTGTATCAAGCACGCGTTGTCTTACTTAACATGAATCTCAACAACCAAAAGGCCCCCCACTACTTTTACAGACTTCAAACATAACCCCCGCGCAAAGTTTGATAACTAGACAGTTTGGAGTTATTTTGGCTAAGAGCCATCAGGTTGGAAGCAAATAAACCTTATGTGGCAACCATTAGACTTGGATTGAATTCGGAAATCTTTATGCTTGTTTACAGAAGACTTGCATTAATGAAGTTTAATGTCAACTTCATTTACCCACGGACAAAGTAAGACCACGCTCCGCTGGCGTTCTATAGCTTAACATTTGTATACAGGGATTTGTTTGATTCTTGTGTCTAGATCCGGTAACTGCGGCCTTCGCTGAGCTTTTGTGCTCAGAACAGCTAGTGGGTCTCTGTTCACAGTTTCTCCGACCGTCCAAGTAGTATTGTTAACGAGTGGTTGACGATGGTAATTGCTAATCATACGGTCTGAGAATGGCAGATTGCCTAGCTTGTAGCATATAATAGTGGCATTACATGGCAAATTTAGCAAATGATATTACAACCTACCTTTCTAAAACTAACATTCGAACCGGAAAGAGGAAAAAAGCAGCTCCGTTTAACCTCGATTGCAGTAAAGATATGTTATCTGGGATTCAGTCTAACATCTTATAAACCGATCAGCACGAAAGTCTCATTAATTAAGACAGCACGGTCCATGTATTCCCTATCCAAGGAAAGAAAGCAGCTTTTTTCTCAATTTGGTCTATCGGCTTAGCTTGATAGGCTTTAGCTTTATGGCAGAAGAAACTGCGTTTCAAAGATGCTTTTGTAGTAACAGTCTGCACAAACTGACCTGGATGACACAATAGCTTCGCTAATTGCTTACTAACAAAAGCGTTTTATTATCTTAGATTTAATCTAGAAAGTAAATTGTCAAAACATGGCTCAAGCACAAAAGAACCCCACCTGGGATTTGGTGCACTTGTAGTCTAAACAAGAAACTCCTACCAGTTCATCGGTCAAAAGATATAAATTTCATTTTGTAAATGAAAACTAAACTCGATGTGTTGATATTGCTTAGGTGGAGGTCTGTTTCAAGTGGTCATTAATTGCAAAACATGCCACTGTAAATCAAAGTTCCCAAGAATAAGTCAATTATACTTGCGTGTAGCCTTCTTAACTAAAATCCTAATAATAACTATTATTTTTATTATTGCATGTGGCCATTTTTTGAATTGCCGCTTGGCAAGTCCATGTTATGGTGGTCAGAGTTAGACACAAATAAAAGCCAATTAGGTTTAGAACACTGTGACAGATATCGGACCGTAATTAAAAACTCTCTACGCTGATGACCTATTTATAAAAAGTGCTACCGAGATTTCACAAACGACATTTCGTCGCAGAATGGGAGAAAAAGTCCCTTGTCTTATTACTACTGAAATTGTCATTTTGGACCACCCACCACCTCGGGGCAGTTGGCGAAAATAACAGTTTACTCGCTACTTATTGCGTGATAATTGTTTGTTCTGTCTTGCAACATAATTACCAGGAGTCGTTAATAGTTCCTGCAGGTCATCATAAAAAAGACTATAGTTTATTCATTCCAAGCACGCAGTATCTTTCCTATGGCGCCGTTCGTAATTTGAAAATTATTCACATTCTCCCTGTGCACGTCTCTGGGTCAAGTTTTCATCATGTTCTGCGGCGTACAACATAGTGAACGAGTTTGTCTGTGCTTCTACTTCAAAGAAGCTTAATAGCTTTTTTTTTCAAAATTTTAGTTGTCTTCTTGCCAAGAAATGGAAAAAACATAGAAGTGAATTAATATTAATTTTTATGCCCCTAGACGTTTTTTTAAGACTAGTTAATAAAGTGTTCTATGCACGCAACAACTCGGAAGGGTGTCTATTCCCTAAGAACAGTCTTCACCTAACAGACTCACTTGTCGCCAACTATATGATATAGTCACAAGAAGGAGCTTTTGAAATTTATGACTCGGACTTGGGTCGACTAGTGTCTTTCCTTTATTGTATTGCTCTGCATCAACTGTGTTGAGCCCCTTTATTGTCTCATTTTCTCTCACCCATTTAGATATTTAATCTTATCACCGGAGTCTGTAGACGGCGACACTCTGGCTTGAAATTGAGCGTCCTTCCGTTCTCAAAATAAACCGCAGATTTCCAAAATGAGACAAAGGTGTTTTAAAACAACAAAAATTTTAAAGATTGTTATAAGCCTTACAGCTTTTAGACGTTTGTAAAAAGTAACAGGTTAATCCTCCATTTGCGTTTGTTTTCAAAAGAAGGAACAGTTAGCTAATTTCTGTAATACTCCACTTCGGATTAAGTGTTAAACTTAAACTTAACTTAGTACCTCAAACCGTCTAAGTGGATTATGTCGCCGACATACCATTTAAGTATGTGGTTCATTGCCTCTAAGAGATAACTGCCGTTTAGGGAATAAAATTCGCCCAACATCTGACCCATCATTTCATTGTCCTCCTCGACACTGAAGTGCCTTTTGTTTTTCAGTTTTTCGTTTCTTTCATTTGATGCATTACTGGGCCTCTTATCACCGTTTAGTTTATTTTTCAAATCTCGATACTGACCTAGTTTTCGATAATTGAACTAATATTAACCTAATAAACGGCCCTTTTTATGCGCGTTAAGTACACGCAAAATCAAATTTCCTGTCCCAGAATAGTTTTGAAAAGAGAGTAACGGAAGCAATTCGCAGAAATTGGCTATTTGGTGTCCTTTTGCGGTATCTACTTCAGTACAGTCGCTTATGTGTGAGGAGGGTAATTGTGGTCGAAAAGAAAGTGGCACTTTGCTGAGCTTTATAACTGTTATCATCTTTTGGACTAGACATGTGTTATTTTTGTCCCTTGGCTTACCAAAGCATGCGAATGAAAATTCGCTTTCTTTCCTTGATCCTGAGACACAGAAGAGATAAAAACTGCTTTTGACATCCATTACGTAACCACTGGCAACGGCCGAGAATAAGCGAAGATGTTACTTCTTTGTCAGGACTCAGATCAGATGCCCTCGTGAATAGCAGTGCGATTAACAACATGCACTGAAAAGTAGAGTACTCGGAAATAGTTGTGCATTAGTGCGAAGGCGATCATTTGAAAATGGTACTTAAATGAGGTCTTCAGGAACACTGATGCAGTAGGTAACAGGTCTAACGCTATAAACTTCGCTTTTCACTTCAAAAGAGGACAGAAGTTTTCGACCATTCCTTCAACCTAGACGATCATAAATCAAAACGACACGAGAAGAACGATGTCGTTCGAAAATAAATTCGTGTTTATTGTAAGTCCAGGTGATCAACTCGCTTCAGATTTAACAGAAGGTAGGGGTTGCAGAAAAAATTATGGGATATAGTTAATTTTTAAGCTCGGTCGTGGAATTAAGATGTTAAGCATTGGTCACGAGCATGAGACGAGAAAAAGTCTGAGTCCCCTGCAGTGATTTGATCGCCTTCATACAAGTCTCTCTAATCTCCCAGATGTTATGGCGAATCTTATCTAATTTTTGGTCCTATGCACGCACGGTTTTTTCCCGTACTTGTAGCATAAGTATTGTTTGAGAGTATGGCATTCTACCCGTTCGGTCGAAATTTCCTAACATGGAGACTGCTTAATAGAAATAAAGGGGCGATCCTTTTGACTACTATTAGAGTTGCGTTAACTATTTGGAACTGCCTATAGAGTCATTTTAGGCAGTCGAAAGTATAAAGGAATTTCTGTTTCTCAGGAGTTACACGTTGCAGATGAATCTTAGACGGTCAAAAAGCGACATTCTTGACACTTCTAAGAGCAATTTTCGATTTGGTGTAATTGGAGACTGCTGTGGTTTTACTTCACAACGCTATGTGATTGGTGTAGGCTGAAAGTTTTCCCAAAATTTACAACCAATCGGATACAAATCCAAAACCATGACTTGATCCGTTGTGTTTCTCCGTGCTTCAAGTGGTTTTCTTGTTTTATAGTTTGAATTCTCATTGGTTCCTTGCGATATTTTCACTTTTTCTGATTGGACGTTGTTGAGATTGACAAGGTTTGATCTTACTATTGACCAACTGTACCAGAATTTAAAACCTAGCAATAAGCAGGGCGCACGTCACTCATATTAACATTTTAATGACAAAGCTCACCACAGAGTCTCGGTAGCTTTGGGTAAGTCTATGGTTCGATTTCCCATGAGGACTCCGAGAAGTTTTCCATGTTCCATGCTCATGATAAGAGGAAGAAACGTCTTTATAAAATTGAACTGCGATCTTCATGTTGGTAATTTGCAACCATAGCGAATTAATCTCCTTTATTATTCAACTTTCATACGTAGTACGAATTCCGATTTTCTGATTGGCGACCCGTAATTATTCCCAACCATCCATGTTCCTTTGTTGTTTATCTTTTCCACCAGTTTTATTGTCTCTCTTTCTCTTACCAAACCAATCCCTCGAGGGTTTCCTTTAAGGTTTCATGTAATTTTTCTTTCTCTTTTTCATGTTGAAATAAACAACTTAGTGTATCGTGACGTTAGGAGCCTAAGTTCATCTGACTATCTTTGTTTATCAGCACCATTTACAATTTTCGGCAATCGGCTTTTGTGCTGTTTTGGCCCAATTCAATTTTGCCACTTAGAGATCATCGCTCTCCCAGTGAGTTCGTTATTAACCATTATTAACCACAATAAACAGATTTACCCAACAACCTTGACCTAGAACCTTCGTGACAAACTTTTTACGTTAACTTGAGACGCAGCTCACTCCACTACCTCGGACCGTTCTCTTTGTAATTGTTCATTTAAAATTTGCTGGCAGGTAGGACGAAAACAAAGCGATCAGGCATAGCACTGAAAAACTCCACTATCGTGGTACACGATTGTGCGAA